GGAAATGCAAAAAAATGTCAGACTTTAATCAAAATTTTTTTCTTTTCTTTAAAAAACACAAGTATAGTGTTAACCTATATAGATATAATGTTGGGAGCACTTTTATGAGCATTCCAGAACTATTGAGATTTTGAGGGGAACAGGTGATTGGTACAGAAAGAGAGAGGAATCTGTCGGTACAATTAACCTTCTGGACAAGATGACTGGATTTAATAACGTTAACTAAATCTGTTATACATTTCCTTCATTTGAAACAGCTCATATTGTTCAACTTCTTGATCAGACCAAATTGAAGGTTAGGCTTTACATTGCACACTGGAGTAAAGATTGGGTTCTAAGTTCTAACCTCTAATCTGTTTGTTCAGCCATTTGAATGTTTAGAAAAGAAGCAAGAAGAAGAGGAGTCACATAATGATTTGCAAATATACCTTAGTAGCAATTCTCAAGAGAATCTCTTGGTGTTGTTGAGGAAGCTTTGAAATATTTACCACAAGCATAGGAGCCATATTTTCTTTTTCCTTTAACAAAAGCAAAGATTAATTATGAAAATGCTACAACTTGCAAGCTGTAACACCAAACCTGATAAAATATACTATTAATTTCCCAAAGACGAGATTTGGGATTAGACAATGTGGAACACACCTTTAAAGGTGCACGTTCAAATGCCATCTCAATATACACAATGCAAAAGTTCTTAACCATTGGAGTAGCATTAGCTTCCATATACATTTTCCATAATTCTGGCAGTGGTAACCCAATCTCAGGCTGGTGTTTGACTCTCTTGTTCACGTGACTCAAGATCTCAAGAACCTAACATGACAAAGCAAAAGAAACATAGTCATTGAGATTATAATCACTAACGATCTACCTTTTACACCATAAATTTGACATGTTAAGAGGAGGGAAAACATGAAACTTGAAAATATTAGGCAAAGGCAGGTTCAAGTAGCATAAAGCAGACGTTAACAAAGTATGTATATCAAACAGTTGATGGCATGTGAATGATGAATGCATATAAAGCCTCTCCAGTGAAATCTGTATGATAAATTGATAATAAACCAGAAAAAGGAAGGGAAAGATCATAATGCTTGAAGAAGCAGTGGGCAGCAACCTCCAAAGGTGTTTAGAAGGCATGCTAACGTTGGTTCTATTACCCAAGCCTTAATGTGGCACATGTTCATTGATAAAACACTTAGTTGGGAATATGAATAGGCTTTATTAGTTGCTTTAAGTCTTAACTCTATGTTTCTTTGAGGTTAAAACCTTAGGTTATTATTTGATTTTTTGTTTCTTGAGTTAAGAATCAAGGTATGGTCATAAATTTATGTTTCTTCTTGTAAGTACATAACTGTAATGTGATTAAAATTGGATAGAGTACCCAATGACAATAGAGAATCATATAGAAGAATTAACATGTTCTACTCTAGTGAGAGAAAGTACCAATAGAAAGCACAGGAGATAAATATAGACAATGAGTCTGTCCTCTAGAAGCAAATAGAGAAACAATAAGTCTAAAATTTGCACAGCGAGTCTTTCAGTCTCCAAAGGGACACACCAGTGATTAGATCTTAAGATTCCATTTTGGAGGTCTCCAGTTTGAATAATAGGATGGGTGGGGTGGGATTTACAGGATGGGGGAGGTATAGCCCAACATCACATGTACCCAAAAAAAAAAAAAAAGCAAGCCTTTCCAACATATCTGCACGAATTGTTAGCAAATTTTATGAAATCAAGGGATTTCAAAATTGTTATGTTTTTTCAGGAAAAAAAAGAAGGAATACATAATTCAATTCCGAGACTATCTAAACCATATAATCTTAACAGGTTATTCCTAGCCCTTTGAATCCTAAATCCCCAAAATTTGGCAGTCCCCTAGACCATGATCTACTTTGATTCCACAAGCCATGAAGAAGCCTTGGGCAATGTGTCAACCAAGATATTTGGCAGGTTAGTCATTTTATAGCCATATTGACTTACAAAATAACGAGCAGTAATCACATATTTTAGGCAAATAAACTACATAATAAACTTCTCAAAACCTCTTTTTTATGGGCAGAGACAAAGCCAAGCGAGTATACTAACAGAAACATTAATCAGTCAAGCAATCACTTTCCACTGTACCTTACAAATAAACTTATGTAAAACCAGAAATTCAAAGACTTATAGTACTAAACTGGATTCAGATAGAAATATCTACTCACACGCATCGCAGTTAAACAAACATCTTAAGCAACATTATCCCTGCATTGAATCGCTAAAAAATTATTAAAAAAGAAAAACATTTATCCAGCACAGATGTCCATCTATGTATCGGTTGGGGTCGCCCCCAAAATTTATTACTATCCCATACTTGATGTTAATAAATTTCACAACAATATATAACTTAATTTAAAAAAAAAAAAAAGAATCGCATAGTTATTATTTTCATATAATTCCAAGTCCCAAATGATTAAAAAAAAACTTAAAATGACCCACCGAAAGCAAAAGAAGAAAAAAAAAGGACAATTCAAAGCTAAGAAACAAAAAGATTAAAAGAAAGAGGGAACATAGTCGGACCTTGTTGCGGACGGGTTGAGAGGAAGAGGAAAGAGAGGAAATGGTGAGAGGGAGGAGCTTGGAGAGCAAGGCTTGGAGTTTGGAGTCGTCGCAAAGAGCTAGCCTAGTCAACATTCGATCCAGCAATTCTTCAGTCTCCGCATCCGATTTTGGTGCTGCCGCCGTCGCTGCCGCTGATGATGATTCCGCCATTTTTTTTTTCTTTCACAACAAGACACTAACAAAAGGACTTAAAGGGGAGAAACCGAGAAATGCGACTGCCTTTGCCTTTGGTTTTTATACTTTTTTTTCCTTTCTTTTTAATAGTACTAGATTAATGCCCTGCTAGGCGTTGGGTGTTTTTTAAAAACTTATTTATAAAAATTTTTAAAATTGAATATTATTACAAATAATAATATTTATTAAAAATAGTAATAATAATAATAATAAATCAACATTATTATTTAAAAATATTTATTTTGTAAATATATAAAAGTAATATTCAATTCATTCAATTTATTTTATTTATTTATTATTTTATTCTTACCATTTTTTAAAATAACTTGAAATTTGAAAATAAATTTTTTTTGAAAAAATCTAAAAATTATATAAAATTATGAAAATTTTTCTTTTTTTGAATGTTATAATTTTAATTTTTTTATATATTTTTACTAATTTTTTAGATTCTTTTGATTTTTTTTATTTTTATTAAAATTTTAAGTTTTGTATTTTTATTTTTCAAAATTTTTTATAATTTTTTACAATATTCCTGATTTTTTTAATTTTTAGAATTTTTTTAAAAAAATTTATATGCTTCACACTGTCACATATGCATTCAAAAAAATGCAAGTGTTGGCAATTTTATATGGTCTATTGACCATTAATATAATGCAATCAACAGTTTAAGCACACAATTTACATAATTTATATTCACATAACATAATAATTAAAAAATAAATAAATTATATTTGAAATTTTGTATAAAATAACTAAAATTATTGGTAAAAATATTTGCACTGATCTTGGTTCGTGCTTAACAATTTAACTCAATTTTTAAAAAACTACGATTCATGTGCGATTTTTTTATTTGTCAAAAATTAAATCACTTTTCTAATTAATCAAATCTTATCTAAATCAAATTTCAACTATTTGGATCAATTTAATTTTATTGATTTTTTAAAATTCAAAGAATTTTAAGTTTTTGTTAGCCAAAAAATATGTTTTTTAAGTTTTCATTTATTTGCTTAAATTTTGAAATAAAAATTTTTAATTTTTTATTTATGAAAATTAAAAATAATGGAACTTATTAGATTTTTAGCTTGATTCGATTTAAATAATTCAATTTTTTAATTTATAAATCCAATTGAATAATAAAATTTATATTCAAACCAAATAGAATGTATAATAATAATAATAATAATAATAATAATAATAACATATTTGAGACACATATTATGAATTAAATTGAAAATTGATTTAAAATTTAGGGACAAGTAAGTGCAAATAAAATTTTAGAGAGAAGATACAAAATTACCATTCTATTTATATGAATACAAATTAAAAAATAAAATTTAACCTTTAAAAATTAAAAAATAAAAGATCATATAAAAAATATATGATGCGATAATAATTAAATGTTATGTGACGTATTATGATTTTATTAAATATTAATGTCACGTGAAATAATTTGATTAACAATGTTAATCTTGAGTATTAAAATTATTGACAAAATAAAAATTTAAGTATCAAAGTAATTTTTTTTCTTACGTACCAAATTAACAAAAAAATATAATACATAAATCATTTTTTATATTTAACATTTATTTAAGTTGCACTCAATTGCTAAAAAATCTAACATTCAAAGTTAAAAAAACAATTGTAACATGTCAAGTTGACAATCTCCCAAAGCTACAGTAACTTATCGAGGGATTGTTTTAATATGATGCATAGATTTATCTAAATTTAGCACCAATCTTTTAATTGAATCATTATATTTTTTAATTTTGAAGCAAAGTTACCATCATTGAATCATACTGCTAAAAAATACATCATAAATATTTGTTGAAAGCTATTTTATAATTCAAAAAATATTGAAAACAACATGACAAGAACAAAAGATCTAAACCAACTGGAAAACCATGTTGTGGCATTTGACTAGTAAAAATTGCCATGATCCAACAAGAAATTAAAAAACAAAATTTGACTATGAGACATTATATTTTACTAAAAAGTATAATGACGAAAAAAGAAAAAATATAATAAAAATTCAAATTTTAGCTTGACAATTTTTTTGCCATGTCATTTTTAAAATTATAAAAATTAGTTTTTAAATTGTGTTTAATGTTCTCTAATTGTTCTAAAATTATATTAATTGAAAGATAAGTGGTAAATTTAAACTAATATGTACCTATCCCTCAAATCTCTTGGCAGGGCCAACTGAACTAACTAGGCTGATTTGGAGAGAGTGAGCATTAGAAATGGCCAAAGTCCAATTTCAGCAAAAAAAAAAAAAGAAAAGAAAGATAAAAATCAAAAGAAAAAATAAAAAGAAAACACACCCATCTTGCTGAAAATGTAGTATATTAATTAAAATCATCAATGAACATACAGCTTTTGCTGTAAAACCAGGATTATTAAAATCAGACAAAAGAACATACATACAACAATTTTCATGGGAAATGCAACTACTCAGGTCTTGCCATTGTATCTTCTTTATCACCAAAAACAATTCTATTCATCCCCAGCTTGGATACAAAAATACAAGTATTCTTGCAGAGACTGTTGGATTCTGATGTTGCAGACTTTTTCTAAGGCAAGGTACTATGCAAGTGGTTACAGATATATGTGGAGATAACAATTAACTACACATGTTTCCTACATTTATAGTGTCAGACCAACAGAATGTGAAAATCAATTACCAGCTTCTTCTCTGCTTTCTGCTCTTTTATGAAGTTAGACTCATATCTAAAATGAAACACCAAATAATAATATTCAGCATCAGCTTCCAATTTTCAACAGCTTGAGTGTCTAAATGTTATAAAATAGATTTCACATAACTTTCAAAGTTCTTGCACAACGTGTTTAAGATAAAAAAAAAAAAATCAAAAAATATATCCAAGTGTGGGAAAACACTTATTTACACCTGATTGTAATCTTGTAATCTGTATATTTATATTTGTATCTCTAGAATTAAGTATTTGTATCCCTAAAATTAAGGAAGATTTAGTTTCCTAGTTTAACCCCTAGTTAGTTGTATATAAACCTAAGATTCTTGTATAATTGTAGATAAACAGTTTTTCAATATACATTCAGTTTTCACATGGTATCAGAGCTTTAGACTCTTCTTGGGAAGAAAAATTTTCAGCCTTCATTGCTGACTTTTTTAGGCCTTCATTGCCAACTTTTTTAGGCTTTCATTGCCGAATCCTGTTTAGGCCTTCATTGCCAAACCCTTTCAAAGAAAGATATCACTATCACCCAATTTGAGGAAATGTTAACTGAAAAAATCACTGGAGTACTACAGATGTCTCAGAAACAAGGAGAGTTCAACAGGGAAGAGATTGAAAAGCTGAGAAACTTATTGAAAATCCTTGAAAAGCCTACTATGGTATGTTCTTTGGGTAAAGTTTTTAGTTCAGGTAAAGCTTCCGGTTCTCATGGATTAAATGTCTCGGCTAAGCCTATTACGAGTTCTTGGGTCATTGACTCAGGAGCCACAGACTACATGGCACATTCCCCACAAAAGTTTAGTACATATAACATGTGTTCTAGTAATAAGAAAATTGTTGTTGCTAATGGTTCACTTACCACAGTGGCAGGATTAGGAGATGTTCAAGTTAATCCCTCGTTTGTTCTCAAAAATGTTCTTCATGTTCCTGGATTGTCTATTAATCTGATATCTATACAAAAACTTACCAGAGATATGAATTGCAAAGTAACTTTTTATCCCTCTTATTGTGAATTTCAGGACCAGAGTTCGGGGAAGATGATTGGACTTGCTAAGGAGAATGATGGACTATACTATCTTGAGACATCAAATAACACAAGTAGTATAAAAAATAGTTTACCTTTGTCATTTTTTTTTTAAAAATCTTCCAATAAAGACAAAATCTGACTTTATCATTTTTGTCTTGGACATCCTTCTTTTGAAACCTTGAGAAACGTGTTCCTTCTTTGTTCAAAGAATTAAATGTTGAAGATTTTCATTGTGATATTTGCGAATTTGCAAAACATAGACGTGTGTCTTTTCCAATCAGTAACAAAAGAAGTTCTACTCCTTTTTACTTGATTCATAGTGACATTTGGGGTCTCTCTACAATTCTTAATATTTCTGGTACGAGATGGTTTGTTTCATTCATAAATGATTGTACTAGGGTCTCTTGAGTTTTTTTACTTAAATCCAAATCAGATGTGAATAGTGTGTTTTTAAGCTTCCAAAACATGATCCAAAATCAATTTGGAGTAAGAATCAAGAGATTTAGGTCTGATAATGCAAAAGACTACTTCAACCAAAGTCTATCCACCTATTTCCAAAAAGAGGAGATTATCCATGAGTCATCTTGTGTTAATACTCCATAGCAGAATGAAATGACAGAGAGAAAAAATAGCCATTTATTAGCCACAATCAGAGCCTTTCTTTTTCAAGCAAATGTACTTAAATCTTATTGGGGGAAAGCTGTTCTCACTGCCATACACATTATAAATAGGTTACCTTCAAGAGTTTTGGGATTTAAAACTCTTATGGAACTACTTTCACAATTTTATCCCAACCTCAATACCACAAACAATCTCACACCTAGGATATGTGGTTGTACATCATTTGTTCATGCTCACAGTCATAACAGGGAAAAGTTGGATCCAAGAGCGATTAAGTGTATTTTTGTAGGGTATTCTTCAACTCAAAAAGGATATAAGTGCTATCATCCTCTTACCAAAAAATTTTATGTGTCTGCAGATGTCACTTTTGAAGAAAATAAATCATTTTTTACTCAACCTTATCTTCAGGGGGAGAGTTCATTCATGGAAGATAAGGATAAAGATTTCTTTTTGCTTGATTTGCCCCCTTCTTCAACATTTACACCCATTAATTCTTATGAGTCGAAACATGTTTCTGCTGAGCCCAAGTCAAACATTGAATTTGAGTCTGAACCCATTCCAAATACGAAAGATGTAACAAAGGATAATATTGTTCTTGATTCTATGAAGGAATTACAGGTGTACTCAAGAAGGAAAGTTTCAGATCCTGAACCAGTGCCAGTCTAAGAACCTGATCCTAACTCTGGAAATGAGGTAACTACAATTTTTTACTCTGTTTCTCAAAATGAGCATGAATCTCCTAAAACTATAACTAGTGATTATGATTTGCCTATTGCCATTAGGAAAGGAACCAGAGAATGTACCAAGCATCCACTATACCCAATATCTAATTTTGTGTCATTTGAAAAATTCTCACCATCCTACAAAAATTTTCTTGTGAGCCTAAACACTATTTCTGTTCCAATTACATTATCCAAGGCATTATCCAGTGAGAAATGGAGGCAAGCCATGAAAATAGAAATGGAGGCCTTAGAGAAAAATCAAACATGAGAACTGGTAGAGTTGTCTAAAGGAAAAAATCCAGTGGGGTGTAAATGGGTTTTCACTGTAAAATAAAGCCAGATGGTACTGTTGAAAGGTATAAAGCAAGGTTAGTGGCTAAGAGCTACATTCAGACCTATGAAATGGATTACCAGGAAACTTTTGCTCCAGTTGCCAAGATGAATACAGTTAGGATTTTGTTATCATTAGTTGTAAATTACAATTGGCAGCTTCAACAATTTGATGTAAAGAATGTTTTTTTACATGGTAATTTGGAAGAAGAAATATATATGAAGTTTCCATCGGGATTTGGAGGTCATCTAGAAGCAAACAAAGTATGCAGGTTAAAAAAGGCTTTATATGACCTTAAACAGTCTCCTAGAGCTTGGTTCGGGAGATTTGTCAAAGTGATGCTAGCAATGGGATATAAACAGAGTCAAGGAGATCACACATTATTTATCAAGCACTCTGATTCAGGGAGAGTCACAGTTCTATTAGTGTATGTTGATGATATAATTGTAACTGGAGATAATGGAAAAGAGAGAGAATCTCTAAAACAGTGTTTAATTAGAAAATTTGAGATAAAAGAGCTAAGAAGATTGAAGTACTTCCTAAGAATTGAAGTAGCTCACTCACGGCATGGTATTTTTATCTCACAACAGAAATATGTGATGGATCTTCTGAAGGAAACTGGAAAGCTTGCATGTAAGCCTGCAAATACCCCTATAGATCCTAATCATAAAATTGGAGAAGCTAATGAAGATGCTGCTGTAAATAAAGAGATGTACCAAAGATTAGTTGGAAGACTCATTTATCTCTCACATACTAGACCTGATATAGCATATGCTGTGAGTGTGGTAAGTCAATTTATGCATAGTCCTAAAGAAATGCACCTACAGGCTGTCTACCGTATATTGCACTATTTGAAGGCCAATCCTGGGAGAGGTATCTTATTCAAAAGAGATTCGAAGTTAGTTCTAGAAGCATATACAGATGCTGATTATGCAGGTTCAGTAACTGATAGAAGATCTACCTCAGGCTACTGCACTTTTTTAGGTGGTAATCTTGTGACTTGAAGGAGTAAAAAATAGAATGTGGTGGCAAGATCAAGTGCTGAAGCAGAGTTCAGAGCAATGGTTCAAGGAATTTGTGAACTACTATGGTTAAAGATTATCCTAGAAGACTTGAAGATCAAGTGAGATGAACCAATGAGACTTTACTGTAATAACAAGTCTGCAATAAGCATTGCACACAATCCTGTGCAACATGACAGAACAAAACACATTGAAGTAGACCGGCATTTCATAAAGGAGAAACTAGACAGTGGGTTGATTTGTACACCTTATGTATCAACCAAGGGTCAACTTGCAGATGTGTTGACTAAAGGTCTCAGCAGTGCAACATTTCAAGAAATTATTTTCAAGCTGGGAATGGAAAACACCTATTCACCAGCTTGAGGGGGAGTGTGGGAAAACACTTATTTACAGTTGGTTGTAATCTTGTAATCTGTATATTTATATTTGTATCTCTAGAATTAAGTATTTGTATCCCTAGAATTAAGGAAGATTTAGTTTCCTAGTTTAACCCCTAGTTAGTTGTATATAAACCTAAGATTCTTGTATAGTTGTAGATAAGCAGTTTTTCAATATACATTCAGTTTCCACACCAAGGATAAGCAGAAAACTTTCAGTAACATCTCTCTTTATTATCAGTTGCAAAAAATTTAAAAGTTAGTAAGTTCTGTACAGTTATTTCATGAACAAAAATATAAAGCTCTCTGCTTCATTGTTCTCCATTCAGTTGTATTCTCTTCCCAATCGCTCCAATACCCCTCTCAAGCATCAAATAGAAACATCAAAACTACTGAATTATTGCATTGATTTCAATATATTTTATTCAATTTTGCATTTTCTCCTATACCATGAAAAGCAACACCACCTTTGCAGCATTTTAAATTCACCAACACTGTTCAATAGGTGGTAAACCAAGATAGACGAGAATGTGCCCTTCAACAACCCCTAAAAGTGATTTTTAGTGAACCACTATCCTTTATATCAAATTTGCCATTCAACAGAAAGGACATAGAATAGTCCTTACATACTAAGCTCCAGCCTTTGAAGAAGCTGCTTCCTTTTTATCAGTTCAATGCAGAAGCTGATTCCTTAGGTAGCAACCATATTTTTTAAAATTTTAATAACCATCAATAATGATGGTGGCAATTTGCCCTTCACTCCTCCTAATTACTGTCAGAGTCAATCATGCATTCAGTCGGAAGCTAAAGCAAGAACCATACATTTTTATATTTTATCTCTCACAGCAATTGAATTTGGATAGGTACATTGCTGTTATGGTGCAGCTCCAAAACAGCAAAATTACCTTAAACCAACTGAACTGTGCACTTTATGTTGAATCTCCAAAAAACGTAATGTTCAACATGAACCAAATGAGGAGATAATAAAATCATAAACAATTTATTGGTTAGGAAGATAACAATAATGGAATTTGCAATCTTCTACCAATCAAAGACAAGCATAAACATTGGTTGACCTAAACAATTATTCCATATTCTAGCAGGCAATGGTCCACCTATGTTAGTCTGAGCTGTACACACGAAGCAGTGTACAAAAAACTTGTTATCTTACTCAAACAGGGTAGTATAAGTGTTCAACATTGAAGGGCAAGAGCTGAAAATGAGACCGACAAACAAGAAATCCAGCTGCCAGAAACCATTACACGGATTCTAAGTGCCTTAGCCACCGATGTGTATCATTGGTCTATTTGTTGTCTTTGCAATGTCAAACATCCCAGCATGTGAAGCTTTCTTCCTTTTAACCTGAACGAAAGAAGAAAAAAATGTACATGTATATGGTAAAAGTTAAGCGAAGGAAGGAAGACTTAGTACAAATTTCGCATATTGGCCAAAAATAAAATAGACCAATTTTCCCTTAACTTTAAGCACGAATCAATGCTACCATGATCTATCAACTAGCCATATCACTCATTTACATTGAAAAAGCTATAAAACTCCACCAATGCCCCCTCTCCTTAAACCCCTCTCCCAGAGAGAGAGAGAGAGAGAGAGAGAGAGCATGGAAATCAAATTAATATGCCCTTGATTCAAAAGCCCAGGCAGAACAGACACAAGGAAAAAAAAAGCATAGTCATTATGTAATGCACACTTGTCTATATTTTGCATTACATGGTAACAATTTTTGAAAAACACAGTGTCACTAAGTAACAGGTTAGGAAAAACAACGCATTATTAAGTAGAAAGCATACCGCTGCTCCAATTATTTCTCTAAGTTCCTCATCACCAACACCACAACGAAGAGGATCTCTTAAGCTAACCTGAGAAGAATCAATGCTAGTAAGGAAGAAATTGAGAGCAATATCAAAAGTGCAGTCGCTATGCTAGAGCAATGAAGAACATATCAACATTTAACTAGGGGCTAGAACATAGAAACTTTCAAACACATCTGAATTCAATGTCAATGTCTAGGCCTACTTTATTCAATAACAAAGTTTTGCAGACTTAAACACGTTTACATGCACTTAAATTAAAAAAAAAAAAAAAAAACAACATGAATATACAGGTAAAAATTGCAAACAAATAACAACCAAGATTCACAGCAGATTGTGTGAGATCCGGGCTATAAGATGATCAAAAACAGAAGTAAACAGGCTCACCTCCGAAGGACCAAAGAGACATACTTTTAAGTTGCCATCAGCTAAAAGTCTCAATCTATTACAACCAGCACAGAAATGCTCAGTCATCGATGTAATGAAAGAAACAGTTCCAGTGTGGCCGTCAATCTGGAAATTCTTCGCTGTCTCTGTCGGATGATCATGCAACCTCTTTAGGCCTGGAAACTGTTTTGCCTATTAAGTAACAGAGAACAAGAAGAGAATTAGTTGTGAAGTTTAGAAGCAAGAAAGAATAAAGAAATGTGAAAGCAAGATCAGCCATAAGAGTTGTACCTTACCACTGTATCCAACATCTCCGAGTACGGCACAAGTTTCTTGACATTCCAAACATTTCCATCGAAAGGCATGAACTCAATGAAGCGAATGTTAATCGGTTTATCTCGTGTGAGGTTCACAAAATCACACATCTCATCATCATTAAATCCACGCATAACGACACAATTGACCTAAAAGCAAGCAAAAGCAGACCCGGACCCAGTCAAGAATACTAATTTAGTTAAAACTTAAAAAATTATAAAAAAAAGGAGAGAGGGGCATGATCAGTAATTACATACTTTTACAGGATTGTAGCCAAGGTCAATGGCAGCATTAATGGAGTCAATAACCCTGTGATGGCCTTTACGCCTAGTGATAAACTCAAATTTGGCAGGGACAAGCGTGTCCAAGCTGATATTGAGAGAAGTAATCCCACATTGTTTAAGCATTGGAAGTTTTGAGGCAAGAGTAATTCCATTGGTAGTGATTGCCAAAGTCTTAAGTCCTTTCAAGCTGGACAAGTTCAAGCAAATGTCAAGAATATCTTTTCTAAGGGTAGGCTCACCCCCAGTTAGACGAATCTTATCGACTCCAGAAGTAACAAAGAGATTAGCCAAACGAAAAATCTCATGGTGAGTGAGTAATTGGGGAGAAGGAGTAAGCTCCACTCCCTCCGCCGGCATGCAGTAGTGACATCGTAGGTTGCATCGTTCTGTCAACGAGATTCTCAAGTAATTGTGCATCCTTCCAAAACCATCAACCAACATATCAGAAACTGCACTGCCTTTGTCGTTGTCTTTGTCTTTGTCTTTTATCGGATCCTCTTCTGCAGCGTTAGCACAAAGAGTTCCATACGTCTTATCCACCTGCTTGACAGTATGGGACTGTTCCCATGAAAGCAGTCTTAAATTACATCTCATCAAAATCCCAGATTAATAATAATTACAACAGAGTATGCATTTGTCAAATCAAATAGATATAGTAATTTGGGTTTTTTTTTCTTTTACCATAATTCCCAAATAAAAAAAAAAAAAGAAAAGAATCGCCCATTACTGATGCAAAAAGATACGTACTTTTCTTACCCAAAAAAAAAAACTCTCTGAAAAAAAGTAAAGAAGAAGAGATACCCAGAAGAAATTGAAGTTTCGGAAGTGGAAGGGCATCCGGCAGTGGGTAACACTAGAGACATGGCGACTCATGGTAATGGCTGCCTGCAACCTCGATTCAATCAACGAATTGGGATGAAAGAGTAATCAAACAGATACCGAGCACTGGTAATTATAAAGTGAAGTACAGAGTTTGTCTAGAAGTTAGGTAGATACTTTTCCACACAGCCTTTTCATAAGATTCCGCCAAATAACATGTTGCCACCTGTTCAAAGAGCTGAGTCAAACGTTTAACAAGCCGGCTGCTGTGTTTGCGAAATCAAGTGTGCTTTTTTCCCCTTGTTTTTTCTTCGGTTACATAAAAAAGAAAATTAAAAAAAAAAAGAACGAGGGGTTTGATTTTTTTAGGATCTTGGATTTTACACATTTGCTTTTGGTGCAAAGTAAATAAAAAAATCAATGTTAAAAAGAGACATTTATAATAAAGAAAGAAATTATAAATGTTAGAATTTAAATTTAAATTTAAATTTTATTAATTATTTTTAAAATGATTGTATAATTAATTAAATTAAATTTTAAATTTGAAAAACTCAAAATTTATTTCTCTTAAAAGTAAAATTTTTTATAATAATTTAGATTCTAACTATAATTAAGAATACACCACTTGTATGACATTGATTATTTTTTAAAATTGAATCACTAAAGCAAATTACTTTTTTTTTCTTAATAAAAGCTCTTTACATAAAAATATTTTCTCAATACTTAGCAATAATTTTCTTTATTACAGCCATCGCATCGAATAAAAATTAAAAAAAAAAACTACCGAATGTCTTCACTACACCGAGTCACTAGTAAAATAATCATAAGGAGATTGATTTTATTTTACAAAGGAGAAAAAGAATTAAAAAAAAATCATCAAAATTTCAAAATATACAAACAATTCCTAACACTATTAAAAACCCATTCAATTTCCTGTCTAAGAAATTGAAAAGTAAAGAAAGCGATCCAGAATCCTCGTTCTTATCACTTTCCTCTTCAATGGGATGATTGAAGTTTGAAGGCACAATGGTATCCGGGGCTGAATCATCACTCCCAAAATCAGGACTATTAGGAGCTGGGGCATCATCCGATGGCTCTTCCAAGCTCTTGGGCAACCCTTGGCCATGAGTCACATTTACTTTGAAATGCTGACCATTTTTGCATTGCTCACCATCATAATCGTTGGAGAAGAAATAGTTCATCCCTTCCTTCACTAGTGGGATTGCTACTGAGACCGGATGAGGCGCCGTGGCCGACGGATCGGCTGCCGACCATTCTATGGTATCATTTTGCAGAGCATCACCATCATCGCAAAGCTTGTACGTGGTGAAATTGTATGTTTGCACTATTGAATGGTTATTATCCGTATTAAAAACTGCGTTAACGAAATAAACACAAAGTCATTAGATCCTAGATTTTGCATGTTAATTATTCACCTTAAAATTATTATCACAATTTGAATATATAATGATAAAAAAACCTAATATTTAAAGAATAATATCACTTTTATATATCATATAATATATAGACGTAATTATCGATGATAAACGAATATAAAATATAAGACAAATATCAATGATTTGAATATAAAATTATAAAAAATTAATATTTAAGATAATAATAAAAAAAAGGAAAATAATAAATAAACCTATAAATTCTTGTGAACGAAGTAATTCAAATTATGAATATTAGAGTTCCAAACTATAGGCTAATAGGCTTTGACATCTAACGTAAAAACAGGTTCAATTTGGCTAAAACGTTCTGTAACACAACAGAGAATTGTCAGAATATTCTTCAAAGCATAACCTTATGTTATATGACTTTTTATTATTCCTTGCTCACCGACAAAACAATCATCGTCTGCTAGCTTGAAAAAAGAGTGTTCATATGCCCTTAACTTTATGTATGTCAGTCAGCAAATTAGTACCAACCTGCTTCTTAATTCTTCTACTTTTGGAATAAAGCTCTTTCACTCACTTCTATGCTTAAGTGGGAAAGCAACATGGAGTACTTTTCCATTTTTATTTTAACTAATAAAAGAGGGTAAAAACATCAGAAGAAAGAAAGAAAAGAAAGGAAATTCTATAAGTGAGATGAGGTATGAGTGGAGCAAATTTAACAGAAGTTAAGGGTAGAATTCAAGAAGGCAAAAAGGGATCATCAATGTTTGGCTTATTTCGTCTTTTCCCCTGTTACAGTTTTTACAAAAGGAATTCAGAAGTTGCAGCTAAAACAAACAAAAAAAAAAAAAAGATTTTCTTGGGAGTTCATATTGCTAGAATGCTGCACAATAGACCAGGTAACTGAGTCTCCAACTTAGCTTTTTGAAACATTTCCTTTCATGGGTTGAAATTATTTCTTCCGTTAATGGAAATTTACTAAAAATCCACAGATTTTTGTCATGATTAGAAGATACTGCTCACAATTCACAAATGACAAACCGAAAGAGTAACAAAAAAGAAAAAGAGAGCAGTAAAGGATACAAAGACTTCTTACTGAGGAAATCTCCCAAGCTGAAGTTTTTGGTATCTGCCCATTTCTGGTAGTTTACATTAGGCTTTTCAAGGGTGTCATACTAGCCAAGGGAGTCCCCAACTGTGTAGTTCTTGTAAGCTTTAACAGATCCTGAAAAGGAGAGAAGCAGTAGACAAGAAATGGTGAAGAATTGCAGAACTGAAGTACTGTACCCTCTCCCTCTCTGTTCCATCATTCTTGGTTTCTGTGATGATTGCTGGACTATAGGGAACTCTGGGACTTCACCTCTTATAGTTTGAGACTTGAGAGTACTAAAAAGCAGTGGAATAGCCAATTTATGATTTATATATGTGCCTCGCCTTCGCTTGGAATTACTAGGATGGTCTATCTTTCTGATGACCCCAGAGCCATCAAATTGTCAGATTCATTTTTTTTTAACAGTTGAGTAAACGGTAAGAAAGGAATAATAATCCCCCTCTCAAGTTATTAACTACCCTAAACCTGAAAAATTAACTCACCATTAAAGGACTTTAAAACACTTGATTACTGAATTGTTTGGAATCAGATTGAATTGCAGTTTCAGCATTTTTAGTAGCAGAGTTTGAGAAGCCTGCTAACTTACATTCCAATCCTCAATTCTTTTTGGATGATGAATTTTAACTGTGTTATGCAACAAAAACAAAATGGTGAACGCAATCCAACGTCAACGACCATGATCACCTTTCATTTCAACACCTAGTAATGGAATATGGTAGAACATATATAATATAAAGCCAAATGTGAATGTTTCGTATAAAGGGTGGGTAACAATTCATTTAAAACCCAAATTTATTTAAAATTAATTGTGATTCTCAATTCAGAAGCATGAAAGAGCTCAAGATTTTAAAGGGTTTTTTTTTTTTCGAATTTAATCATTCTCACATAAACAATAGATTATACAATACAAAAGAAAGCCATTTTACATGCTTCCATGAAGATCACTTTCACGTTTCTCCCTTGGAAATGTGATGGGATGGAGACTTGTATTAATGCTAATACATTAGCACGTGAACAATGACAGGGGCAGCCGCATCTCCTGCCATGAAAACAAACAATGGCGGGCAGGCAAGTATAAACTCTTTCATTAATGAAAAGGCCAGCAACCTCAAAGTATTTGTCCTACACAGTAATTCAGAACTGAGTCAGAAGCCATCTAAATGAATTATTTGTTTTCCTTTTTCTTGAAAATGACAGGAATAACAACCACTTGATTGGGTTTGACGACTAGAGATGATAGGTGATGTGTTGATAGGGTGAAGGGCTGGCACAACACTGGCAAATGAAGGAATCTGAAACCACCAAGTCACCAGTGAAAACTATTGAGCCATCACCAAATACTTGCTATTTATTTTCACTGCCCGATTAATTAATATACAAAAAATTGTTGATATATATATATATATATATCTTAAAGATACAATAGAATTCGGATTGTACTTTACATTGATGAAATTAATTCATCAACATAAAAACTATTTGATTTGATTACGAAAAATTTGTGGGCCTTTTTTTGTTAGTTTTGTTCACTTTCTTTTAACGTAAGTTGTTTTTATGTATCTTTCAAAAACCTATAGAGTTTTATCTATAATAAAATAGATTTTTTTTACATAGATATATTTGTATGTTTATTTGTATAGACAACATTTTTTATAAAACATAATTTTTTAGTAAATAATTATGTTTTTTAAAGATACATAATTATTTATTATCATATGTAATTTATATGATTTATTATTTTAAAAATGTTAAATTATATCAAAGGATTTTATACTTTGTGAAATTTTGAAATTCAAACTTTATACTGTAATTCATATAATTTTAGTATTTATATTACTTAGATATGATAATTTTAGTTTAATTATTAATTTCGTTAATTTTTTATCATTAAAAATACTAACATGACTATTAATTTGATGAAATATACTTTGACTTTGTGAATATGGCATTTATTTATTGACGTAATAATTTAAATGAATAAAAATGGCTATTAAATTGTACAAATAATCCATATATTTATATAAAATTTGAAAATTAATCTTTATATTTATATAAAATTTAAAATTTAATCATTCTAGTATAAAAATTCAATATATCAAATTTTTATAAATTTTCTAGATTTTTTTAATATTTTAATTTAATTTTTTGAAATTTTTGTATTTTTCAAATTTAATATTTTTATTTAAACAAAATATTTAATTTTATTATTTTGAATTTTTAGAATTTTACAAAATTTTAAATATTATTTAATTTTTAATTTTTATAAAATTTTATGTTTTTAAAAAGATTTATAAATTTCCAAAATTTTTTACATATTTTTTTTAACTTTTTCAAGTAAATAATAAATCTGAATCAAAAACTTTTTGTCTTTTGCTATTTTTTCTGTTTTATCTTAGATTATTTTGCTCTTCCTCTTCAAATAAAGCAAAGAACAAATTCTAAAAACTCATATCTTCTATATAATTTATTTGTTTATATATTTTTCGTTTAAATATTAAAAAGTACAAAGTTTTAAGATAAACATAAAAATAAAAATATAGAAATTTTTATAAAAATTCCAAAATTTTAAATATTAAATATAAAATATTTTAATTAAATCAAATGTTAAATTTAAAAAAAAAATTTTCAAAAATGATTTTTATTTTTAAAAAGTAAAATATTAAAAAAAGTACATTTAATATTTTAAAAATCTGAATTCAAAAATATAATTTTTTAAAAAAATTTAAAATATTAAATTAATATTTTAAAAATATAAAAAATTTAAAAAAAATTTAGATTTGATTTTTTTAAAAAATAAAATCTAATTTTTTAAAAGGTAGAAAATAATTTTTACTATTAATTATTCAAACATTATTAATTTCAACTTGAACAAGAATAAAATTTTTTATGAAATTATACTAGAATAACTAAATTTTAAATTTTATGTGAGTATAAAATACTATTTACATAATTTAATAACTAATTTCATCTATCTAAATTGTTACATTAGCAAAATCAACGTCCTTAATGGTTACATTAGTATTTTTTATGGCGAAAAATTGATAAATTTGTGATTAGATTAAAATTATTAAATCAAATTAATATGATAACTAAATTTATATAAATTATAATATAGGAAAATTTTAAAATTTCGTAAAATAATTCAATTTGACCTTTTGAAAATGTCCCAATCCAACAATAAAATGATTAGAACTTTTTTTATAGCGTTCAATTTATGAAATATTTAATGGTTAGAACTTGAAATCTCAAAATTTTCATTTGAACAGACAGATTAAATTATGAGATGATAAAAAAATTTTCTTATTTTTTTAAAGAAGATTATCTCTTATTATATAGTCTAAGGTCAGATGTAAAAAAAAATACTACATAAATAAGCACATCAAGTTCCTCTAGTAACAAGTAATTCAAATTACAATATGTTTAGTTCAATAAACGTTCAAACCAACAAATTTAGCAGAACCTTTCACAATTAGCAGATTTTCTCTTTCTTAATCATGTTCCTGGACTGATTTTATCCCTTCTTTAAAAAGTTACTAATTAACAAATAAGTTTTGAAAAGCAAACCCAACAGCAATATTAATCCATAATTAGCACTTTAAAATGAGTTTTTAAGTTAGAAGCTTCTCTTCACCAACTTAAATTAATCATCCCTATCAATAAAAAAATGATATACCTATAGAATTATGTACTTTTGGCACTATTCATGTCAGCATGCTTCAATACCTTGATCCCTTTCACTATGTTCGGACGTTGACTTGTGAGTAGCATGGGAGGCGGCTAGCTAATTAAGGTGCAAGAACCTGGTAACTAAAGACAACATTGTTGCATCACTAACTTTCCTGGAGCAATGCTAGCTCAGCCGTGTCCAATGAAGGATTTTGTTTTCTTTGGACAACTCTAATGCCAGCGTTTGTACTTCCTAGATTGCCTGACAGATTGAATTTAGAAGCATGATCACTTCACTGAAACTTTTGAGTCTTTTTTTTTTTTTTTTTTGGCTCAAGGCATCAAACGACATGTCTATACATGCTCCAATCATTGAGTCAAATGCTAGAGTGCGAAATTTTCGAGTCATTCATTTAAGAATAATGCAGAAAATTTTATTTATGACATACAGGAATTTTGGCATTACATTTGCACTGAACCGCAACAGCACATATATATAACCTTAAGCAATGCACATCAAATAAAAGGACCAAAAAACCAAAAAAAAAAAAATCATAAACTGATTATGAGATACTTATTGACTCTGTTGTTATGCTGCTGCCACGTATTATTTCTCTTATCAGTGCCTTAATGCAACAAATATTCAAAGATTCTTATGTCTTTGTTTCAGTCTTGGATTCTGTTGTGTCTTCTTCCTTGTACTTGTACCATGAAGCACAAAACAGATAGGCAATGAAGTTAAGGGTGCTGAGGACAGCTAGGAACCAATAGAAGAGATTGAGATTATTGGCATTCAAGTTATCACCCTCTATCCACCCTTTCTTGCTTGGAGCGATCTTCCCGGTGACACTGTTTATAATGTCGACAAAGGCAGCGCTCAAGAAGTAGCCAAATGATAGAGATAACCAAGCGAAGGAAGTAGCGAGTGATTTCATCCCAGCGGGCGCTTCCTTGTAGAAGAACTCCATTAGTCCTACAATTGTGAACATGTCAGCTAGTCCAAATATTCCATATTGGAAGGAAAGCCAGAATAGACTAATAGGCTTGAATGGATCTTTTATGGCTTGATCCCTCCTCTTAACTTCAACTATGCCGGCGACACTCATTGATACGATAGAGAGGACAAGACCAACTCCAACCCGCTGAAGCTGTGTGATGCCTGATTGATGTCCAGTGATTTTTCGAGCAAAAGGGACCACAAGAAACTCATAGATTGGTATTAAGAAAATCATAAAAACTAGAGGAATTACTGGTATCGATGCTGAAGGGAATTTTTTGTCAAAAATATACGGATCCATGAAGATCCCTTGGTGCACTGAGAATGTCTGCAATTGGGCCAAGCATGTGTTCATTATAATGGTACTGGCTAAGATGGGCAACATCCTTGTCAAAACCTTCACTTCCTCAACTTGTGTTACCGTGCAAACTTTCCAAGGCTCTGGAGAAGTCCCTTGAGGAAGAATGGCAGCCTTGTCTAGTGAACTGGTTTAGTCACATGAATTAATTAGCAGAGATGTTATTCGTTAAGATCTTAACTCTATCTACTAAATTGGTCTTATTTGACAAGTGACATTGCGTTTTAGTATAAGCTCATCAATTCAAGCATTTGCTACTGTCAAGAGGAGTATTTGATTACTTGTTTGGTAGCTTTCGATTAAGTGAGTAACAGATTCATGGTATTTACCTTAACTGATTGGTATGAGAGACTTTTTCATCGTATTGATCTCTAACTTTATCATTGATCTCGAAAAGTTCATCAGAGTCTTCTGGTAATGAAAGCCTTCGGTTTTTGACCGCGACCACTATAACCTGAACAATCCACAATCAATTCTTATCAGGAATCATACATAATACGTACTATATGAGCACGAGCGAGATAGAAGGTGGGAAAGCAAACCTGCACTACTCTCAGTAGAGGGCTGCTCCCAAGTGGTACATAGCGGTAAAATGGCTTTCCAAGGGCAATTGCAATGAATCCAATGATAGCACCCATAGTGCCCATGAAGAAACCCCAGTACCAAGCCTCGTTCATGCTGACCCACACTACGAATGAGACACCAATTGCTGCTCCAAAAGTGGTACTTAACATGTACCAATTAAAATAGGTTCCAAGCTGCTTTGCTCCTTTTGGATCCTTGGAATCAAACTGATCAGCACCAAGAGCTGGAAGAGCACCCTTAACTCCACCTGCACCTATGGCTAATAGAGAAAGCGAGCCATAGAACATCAGTGCTATGCCACCTTTGACACAATCCTTCTGGCAAGTAAGATCAGGCCGCAGATCTTTTGAATAAGCTTGAATGGTAAGCAGTGACAGTCCCTGCAAATTAAAGCATGAATAAGAAAAAGATTGAGGAAATATATAAGCATAGGAAGTACTTGAAGTTATATAAACTGAAGCAGTACACTTTGATATAGTGAAACTTACTATTACTTCCAGTGATCCAAATATCAAAATTGTATACAATCGGTTCAAGTAAGTGTCTGAAATGAAGCCTCCTAACAGTGTAAGCAAGCATGTTGAGCCCAAGAAGTTTGTAAGAGTATTTGAAGAGGTGGGCATATGAAGTTTCATCATAAAAAAGAAATACAGAACCATGCTAACCATGTTAGCAACAAATCCAATATTCTCAAGGACCCCAAGCACTACAAATCAAAAGACAAACATGAATTACTTACTTGTCAAGTTACCATGTAAATCATAAACTGCATATGCTGCTTTTAAGAGCATTTCTTACCAAAAACAAAACTGCAAGCTCGGAATCCACCTTTCTTCAAACCCTGAATGAAAAAAACAACAGTCAGTCAGTACTCAGTACATAGATAAAGAGAGAGGGATGGGGGAGAAGAAATGTAAAAGGAAATACAGGGGGATTGGAGTCACCATTTTTGAGGATTGAGAACTTAGAATGTTTCAATTGCTTGTCAGCTGTAAGTTGCCTTGAACTCAAGGCATGGCAGCTGATCTTTTATAAGGGAATGGAAAGAGATTCTAGCCCCCAGCTTTATTCTTAACTCTAAGGACTCATTGGATAGTATATTCCTCATTTTGGAGTAACAGTATCCAAAATGAGGAATAACTGTTTATTCCCTATTTCGAAGTTTGTTCTTTACCTGTCTCTGACAGCCGTTTGCTTAGCATATTGTACAAATGTGGGAATCTGCTTCTAAGGGACATTTCCACAAAGGTTGATGTGATTGGTAATGAAAATCGAAGACCTCAAATGGTAGGACTGCTGGGTTAGGTTATTTTATCGTTTTCCATGCCTCAAGAGTCAAGATCTTAGAGCTATATGTATATTTGTATTATTGTCTCATTAACCATCCCAAAGACATTACCCATCCTTGTATGCTGTGAATCACAGGCGATGTTTGGCATCATCCAACTCCAAAATTTATAACGTCTTGATTTGAGCTCAGCTGTCTTCACCCTAGTAAAACTAAGTTCAGTTCCGTTATAAACTCAACATATTATGATCTACACCAGGGGCGAATCTAGGGAGGGCCCCCCAAAACTTGTGATAATATTGTACTAACATAAAACTCCACTTCTTCTAATCTTGATTCATTAGTTGTGTTCCTTTCATAATTTTGCTAGTTTTGTCTTTGATTTCCTCATTTATTAAGAACATTTTTGTTCAATTAATGGGAGCATTTTTTTCTATAATATAATAGTAATACAATTAATCAATTATGATTTAGAATTTTGTAAGATTCATTAAAATTTTATATAAATTTTATATTTATAAATGATGGATCCCTACATAATTTTTTTATTATAATTGGATAACATTATAATAAAAAAAATTATAAATGATAATCTCATTTTTTATAATTGCGGCAATATAGTTTTTATCAAGTTATAACAATTTTAAATTACGTGTTGAAGCATAACTGTTGGTGTAACATTGACATGATAGGAAGAGTATAATAATTTTTCCAAAATTTCAAAGCATGTTCAACCAAACCCCATTAATAACATAGCCTTAATAATGTCAAAAAAATAATAATAATCAAGTTTGCTTTTTCTTGATGTTTGAGATTATTTTAATCTTATTGCTGAAAGTGTTATGATCTTAATCAAATTTGGTTTTTCGTGCTACTAGAAGAGTATAAGTTTTATAGCTTTTAATTTAGTTTGCGTCCGTTTTTTTTTTTTTTTTTTCATTTGAGACTATTTGAATCTTATAGCTTTAATTTAATTTGCGTTTGCTTTTTTTTTTTAAATTTTTTATTTGAGATTATTTGAATCTTCTACCTGAGAGTGACACGTTCTTAATCAAATTTGGTTTTTCGTATTACTAGAAGAAAGTTTTATAGCCTTTGCCTGTTGCTAGAAATTTTATGGCTATCAATTCGCAAGGTCCATTCAAATTTTTTGCATGAAAAACTTCTAATCTAGACAGGATAACAATGTTAGGCAGCTGTATGAAAACTTGTTTTATTTTCTAATTAATTGCTTATATAAATCAAGATAGTTGCACAAGCCAATGGCAAGTTTAAGCCTCTATTGTATCTCAAGCTTCAGTAATTGCCAAGAAGCTCCGTGTGAGAAAGATGTTCTCCAACGGACATCCTTCCACAAACACAAAGGTGATAAGAAATCTCTCTACTAAATGTACATAATTTACATGCCAAGGTCTGCAAAACATTCCTGTAGTTTTCCGGATAAGTAAATGATGAAAAAGAAAATACCAGTACATGCTTAAATGATACCAGGAAAAACAAACATATAACTTGAAATAACAGATACAGCCAATACTACTAATTTTCATTGTAGAAAACGAATAAAACGGCCAGGCGAGATAGACTTTAAACATAAAGAGTAATACAAAAAGCTTTTCACATATTTAACTACTCAAACACGCAGAAAATCGCCACTTTTCAACTCTCAAGCAGTATAAAGAGGCATTACCACATTTCACAATATAAAGTAGCATACAGCCTTTATATCTCTCACTCAGCAACACCTTCCTCCTCCTCATCCTCATATTCAAGTTCCTCTTCAGCTGTTGCATCTTGGTATTGTTGATATTCGGATACAAGATCATTCATGTTGCTCTCTGCCTCGGTGAACTCCATTTCATCCATTCCTTCCCCAGTGTACCAGTGCAAGAAAGCCTTCCTCCTGAACATAGCAGTGAATTGCTCACTCACTCGCCTGAACATCTCCTGGATGGAGGTTGAGTTACCAATGAAGGTAGCTGAGATAGACAGGCCCCGAGGAGGAATATCACAGACACTGGACTTCACATTGTTTGGAATCCACTCAACAAAGTATGAAGAGTTCTTGTTTTGAACATTAATCATTTGCTCATCAACCTCTTTGGTGCTCATCTTGCCCCTGAACATGGCTGAGGCTGTGAGGTAGCGACCGTGTCGTGGGTCTGCAGCACACATCATGTTCTTAGCATCCCACATCTGCTGGGTGAGTTCTGGGACAGTTAAAGCACGATACTGCTGAGATCCTCGTGAGGTGAGAGGAGCAAATCCAACCATAAAGAAGTGCAGACGAGGGAAAGGAATAAGGTTCACAGCAAGTTTCCGGAGGTCAGAGTTGAGCTGACCAGGGAACCTAAGGCAGCATGTTACACCACTCATTGTTGCAGAGATCAGATGGTTCAGATCTCCAACTGTTACATTCAACAAAAGAAAGTTACTTCAGCATTAGCCTTATAGCAATGTAGCATCAGGAAAAGACCTACAGAACTTTTCAGAGTAACAACCCCAGAATTCTTAACCAATCCTTGCTTATGAGTTAAAAAAAGAATTTAATTTGTTTTTTTTTTTGAGCAAAAGGAATATAGTAGACCAAGATACACATATCAAAAGAAGAGGACTACTCTGCCAAGGCCATCCTCTTTTTTTATACACTGTATAGGAATTCCCGTCTCACAAGATAACCAAATCAATGGAATATAGAAAAATCGACGTTAGACCAGAATAATTCTCCCGTTCCCTTCAAATACCATTTGAGATTATCACCGATTCCAATAACAATGTATGATCACATAATCAATTAGAATTTAACCAAAACTACCACTATAAGAAAACTTTAGGCAAAGACTACAAAATACTTCAACTGGAAGTGGAACACATTCCACAAAGTTACTGTACTAATCAGTTATAAAGTTTTGAGCTGAAGTTTAATGGAACAAATGCAAGATACCACACCAACACAAATAACCAGTTTTTTTGCAAAATAATAAAAAATAAACAAATAAATTGTAGCAGTCATATATTTAAACAAAAGAAACATACAGCTAGGAGTGGTTAACTTGAGAGTCCTGAAACAGATATCATATAAAGCCTCATTGTCCAACACCATGCACTCATCAGCATTCTCAACAAGCTGATGAACAGAAAGGGTGGCATTGTAAGGCTCAACCACCGTATCCGAAACCTTTGGTGATGGGAAGACAGAGAAAGTTAGCATCATCCTATCAGGGTATTCTTCTCTGATCTTTGAAATCAAGAGGGTGCCCATGCCAGAACCAGTTCCTCCACCAAGAGAGTGGCAAACTTGAAAACCTATTCACACAAACAAATAAATATTACTATTAAAAGAAAAAAAGTTAAAAATCTATAAATAAATATGACAAAATTATACCTTGGAGACAGTCGCAATTCTCAGCTTCCTTTCTAACAACATCAAGAACAGCATCAATAAGCTCAGCTCCTTCAGTATAATGCCCCTTAGCCCAATTATTCCCGGCTCCAGATTGCCCAAACACGAAATTATCAGGCCTAAAGATCTGTCCATAAGGCCCAGTTCTCACACTATCCATAGTCCCCGGCTCAAGATCCATGAGCACGGCGCGTGGCACAAACCTTCCACAAGATGCCTCATTGTAGTAAACATTCACGCGCTCCAATTGCACATCGGAGTTTCCTATGTATCGTCCGGTCTGGTCGATGCCATGCTCATCGCAGACCACTTCCCAGAACTTGGATCCGATCTGGTTCCCGCATTGCCCTCCTTGTACGTGAAGGATTTCCCTCATCTTTTATAAAAACTTTTTAATCTCTGCGAAAATCAAAAAATGGTAAGTAAAAATAAAATAAAATGAAATGAAATAATTGAGTAAAAAAATAGATCTAGGGATTGGGGCTCACGGGGTACGAGCTCTAGTGGAGACGAATCAGAGGATGAGAGAGTGAGAGAGAAAGAGAGTGTAGGAGTGGAGATGGGAAAGGGGAGGGGAAGAAAGGAGGGTTTAAATAGGGAAAGAGGGGAAGGGCAAGGCTGTGAGATCGGACGTTTGATATTGTTTCCCTCCTTTTCTGTTGTTGGGCCGTTCGATGCCGTTGGATTTTCGTCCCGCTGGGTTTTTATGTATTTTTGAAAATTTTGGAGCGGTTTAGATTGATGGAATGTTCTTTCTATCGAATGACTTGTTTAACCTCCAATCATGTAAATAAAGGTTAGTCAAGAAATTTGTACTTGGCAATAAAAAAGGAATTTGCCCAATTTTTAGTAATAATCAGGTGGATGCCCCCCGCTGTGTTGTATATCAAAATTTTTAATACAAAACTTTCAATAAAAATCAATGAATACATACATATATATATATAAATATAAAATCCTTTTACTTCTAATCTAGATTTAAATCAAACTACTCTTATCGGATAAGATGACATGTAAAAGATCTTTTACAATATCAAAATGTAAAAAATTCATATAATTAATTAAAAAAATCCTCAACAAATATAAAAGTTTAAAAAATTTTTTTTACTCAATATTATCAAGAGAACCCTTTAATTTTATTTTTTTTTGAATAGCTAATTAATTAACTATATAGAAAAAAAAGAAAAAGAAAAAAAACTAAATTGAAAAAAATGAAAAAGGAAAAAAAGTTAAAGGGGTTGCCACTGACCGGATCTTTTAAGGAGTCAAAATTACCAAAATTTATGTAATAGATCAGTTTTTTTTATATAAAATTTATTTAATTAAAAATTAAAATAAAATATGGTGTCATGTACACATTCTTGACTTTTAAAAAAAATAATTTAATTTAAAAAACAAAGAAAAATTTTTAAAATAAAAAACACAAAAAGAAAAAATTTGAGTTATATTAGAATGATGAGTTTGTTTTAATAATTTGTATCTTTAATTTAAAAAACTAAAAAAAAAATCAAATATGAATGTGATATTAATATCTTTGTTAATTTTTTTAAAGTATTAAATTAAAAGATAATAAAAAATCATATTTTAATAATAAAACCAAATGGGCCAAATATTTAAAAACATTTATTAAATTTAAAAAATGTGACAAAAAATTAAATGATTTGACATATGACATCATCTTGATATAACGTAGGTATTACCAAAATATTAAAATTTCAAAATTATTTGTTAAATATGTAAAAAGGAAAAAAAATTAAAAAGAAAGGTGTGACATATTTTTGGTACCAAATTACTCTCACATGAAAAATTTTTAAATCCCAAAAAATATATATTAAATATTATTTTAATATTAATATTATATAATAGTAATCAATATATTATCAGCTTTAAGCTCTAGCGATGCGTAGATGATAGTTTTATACTTATATTATTAATTATTTATATAAATATTTATGTAAATTATATAATATAAAATAATGTATTTTAAAATGCAAAATTTTAACTTTGATGATTATTTATTGTTCGATAAAAAGATATATGCTTTTATGTATTGTACGATAAATAAAATAAATGTTTATATATTGTTATTTTAAAATTGTTAATAACGTTTATTCAATATATTGAGAAATGTTATTTAATTTAGTTAGGCTATGTTTAATGCATAATATTATGATAAAATAAAATAATATAATGTTATAAATATGATTAAATTAAATTATATCATCTTATATTATATTTGGTATATGTAAAAATTAAAAACTATGTATAATATTATTTTATTATTTATCATGTTTGTTGTATGTAAAATTAAGATTATGATAGGATAATATTTTTTATTAATCAAAATTATTGTTCATATATTAATTTGAATTTTATGTAATCACAAGTGATATAATTTTTCATTTTTTATTTTTTAAGATAATTTATTAATTAATTAAAAGTTGCCTAAATACTTTTTTAACTGATAAATTTCTTCAATAATTTTTGTTTAAAAAATTACTCATTATAAACAAATAGATACATCAAATAAATAATAAATATATATAAATTCAAATAAAATTATATATATTATTTTTTATTAAAAGTTTATTAAAAAGTTTATAGCTTATAGTTTAACAAAATTAAAGTTTGAATTACAAATTACTTGCTTATTTTTAAGAAAATTTAGGGAGTCATAATATTTTTAAATCTTTGATAATTTGAAATTTAGATTTTTAAATTTAAAGGTAAAATATAAATTTTATTATTTAAAAATTATGATAAATTATCTAATCCTATGGTTTGTAAAACATTTGTTATTTTTTCAAATGATAGAATTATCCTATTAATATAAGATATCTAATCATTTCAATAATCAAATTCTTTTATTTAAGTGTATAGTAAATATATGATAGAATAATTAATATCTTATCATTCAACTAATTTTATGTGCCAAACGTATTATTAATATCTTATCATTGTGATAATCCAATAATATCTTATCATTACGATAATCAAATTCTTTTATTTAAATGTATAATAAATATATGATAAGATAATTAATATCTTATTATTCAACAAATTTTATGTGCCAAACGTATTCTTAATATCTTATCATTATGATTTAAGTTTCATCACTTCCTTTTCTTTTCTTTTTTATAATACCTTATAAAAAGTTAATTGCTTTAATAATGAAAACATTTTTCTCCAAATAGTTGAATGTACTAAAAATTAAAATTGATTATCAAAATAGCTAATAAAATAACTTTTTAATTATTTCAATATATGGTTTTTTTTGCTACAAAAAAAATATTAATTGGTTGTTACATGCATTCGCCCAAGAAAAAAAAAAAGTTAAAAAGTGGTTCAATTCTAAACATAAATAAAAAAGTAAAAAATAAAAAGATGCTACAACATATTATATTTTTAGCTAAATATTTAAATCAAAATATAACATTTGGAAAAAATTTCATTTAAATATATAACATTTAATTTGAATCAAATCAAAGCTAATCACTTTTTGGTTTGTTTAAAATAAAATAAAAAACTTTTAACAAAAATAATATATATGCCTCATGAAGTTCAATAATATTGATAGATGACATCTAATTTTGTCAAGATGTTTGCATATTTATAATTTATCATAATGTATTTATTTTTTTAATAAAATTATGTTTTTTTTTACTGCATATTCGGTTTGATAGAATTGTGATTTCATTCCCCTAAAAAATTTTATACTTTTTTCTATTCAATTATTTGATTTATTTTTTAGCAATGAGTAATAATTTCATCGAATTCTTATCTCATCAAGAATTGAAAATGTTATTTATAGAATAATTTATTCTTGTATATTTAATTAATTTCAATTTTGCCTTCTAATAATTAATTAATTATTTTTATTATGATTAATTAATATTATATTAATTTAATTAATTAAATAACATTAAAATACTAAAATATTATTAAATTTATATTTAATATTATGAAATATTAAAATATTATTAAATTTATATTTAGTATTAAATTATTATTAAAATAAATTACTATATTAAAATAATAAATTAAATAGTTAATATTTGAAAATAATATAATATAATAAATTGTTATTAAATTATTATTTAATATTAAAATGTTATTAAATTATCATTAATATTATTAAATATTATAACATTGTTAAATGTTAAAATATTATTCAATATTCAAATACTATTAATTAATATTTAATATTAAAATATTATCATATATTCAACCATTCTTAAATTAATAGTTAATCTTAAAATATTTCTAAAATAAAAGTAAATATTATTAATATTAAAATTTAATATTATTACACAATAAAACAATATTAAATTAATACTTAGTTTTGACTAATATTAAAATATTATTAAGATCATATACAATATATTAAATTGTTGTGAAATTAATATTTTATAAAAAATATTATTAAAATAGTATTAAATATATAAACATTACTAAATTATTATTTTATATTATTAAATATTAAAATATTATAAAATTAATAGTTAAATAATAATAATATAAATATATAAAAATATTACTAAATTCTTTATAATATTAAAAATAATGTTAAATACTAAAATATTATTTAATTTATAATTAATATTAAAAAAATGAAAGTACTATTAAAATAATAGTAAAAATATTATTAAATTAATATTTAATATTATTAGTTTTATATAAAATATTGTTAAATAATATTTAATATTATTTAAAAAATAGAATATTTTAAAATAATATTTATAAAATTAAATTAATATTTAATATTATGAAATAAACATTTAATAATGTGAAATTAAAGTTATTTAAATTTAATATTTAGTGAGATTAATTTCGCATTAATATTTAATTTTTGTATTACTTTATTATGAATTATTATTCATTTTTATTAATTAATAATTTAATAATAAATTATAAAACTAAAATAATTTTTTGAACTTATTCCTTTTATTTTTTTTAACTAACCAAACATATTAATACTATATTTCTTTCTCTGTTCCATTCTCAGAAACCAACTTAATAATATATATTTTATTATATTCTTATTACTATTCCTTTTACTATATCCACAAAATATAAATTTCATTCCTTTTTTATTCTATTTCGCCACAAGACAAACCAAATACTTAATGTAGCGTGTGAATTAGTGATGTAAAAGTAGAAGATTTCTTTTAAGAAGGCAAAGAAAAAGAGAGAAACAAGAATTTCATGGTTGAAGATGAAAGAGTAACATGGCGGATGTGACTTTACAGCCCCATATTGGTGTCGGCTATACAGGAATGTGTGCTGGTGTGGAGATGTCATTTTGACTAAGGTTTGGCATCTTATATGGTTTTGACAGAAAGGTTTCCTGCCATCTAGTAAAAATGACATGTCATGTATTATTTTAAGGCATGACACGATTTAAATTCTGAATTAATCGTTTACCCAATTTATAAGCCCCACCCCACCTTCAATGGTAACTTGGTCTGCTTCTAATTCAAAAGGAAAAATTCCATCATTCTATTACAACCTTTCTAATTTTTTCCAATCTAAAAAGGTGGAAATTTTTTTGTCAGATATTCCATGGGAGAAATTAATACCATTGTTGAATCAATCCATTGTTGGTCGGATCCATGGACCAATACAGACGGAAAAGGTAGGAGAAGCTTTACTGTAAGGGCCACATGAGAGAGAGAGAGAGAGACAGGTGGGGCATGTGACCTGTCAACTATTATTGTAACATTTAGTCACACATCACTTTCACTAGTCAGTACCTAATGCTTGGCTAAGACTCCTCTAGTCAATTCGTTCACTGACTCTAACGCAATTTTGCTTGGGTGTTAGGACAAGAATAGGACATTTCCAACAGACCAACCCCTGTTTATTGCGTGGCGCAATGGTGGCGTGTCTGACTCCATATTAGAAGGCTGCGTGTTCGATTCATATAGGGTTCAAATTGCCGTTTCTATGGGAATCCACCCTTTTGCCATTTTCTGGTATAGGCCCATCGGGACTACCAATATTTTGAGCTGAACCCGATATTAGTCCGGTCAAAAACTTTCTGGTATAGGCCCATCGAGACTTCCAATATTTTGGGCTGAACCCGACATTAGTCCTGTAAAAAACCGAAGTTATTACATCAACGGCAGCGAATGCTTTTGAGGAAAAAATTGAATCCCCGCCGTTGAATGAGAAACCTAGCAAAACCCTATGTATAAAAAATTTTATTGGTTTCCTTGTGCCCCCTATTTATCACTTGCAAAAACTCTAAAAATCCTCTTCGGTCGCCGGATCCGACTCTCCACAGTCCACTGAGGTGAGCCTTCCGCTCTACTTTCTGTTAAACAAAACCCTCCTTTATTTTCTTTGATGAGAAATCCGTATTTTCATTGTTTATTTTTCTGTTTGCTTAAATTTTTATTAACTATTTATTCTTATAGGCATTGGTTTTGTTTTATCAGTCCTTTAAATGGCATGGATGCCTGCATAATTTCCTGTTTCTTATGTAATTGCTTATTTGAAAAATGGGTCTTTCTTCTTACCTAGATTGTGCAGGATTTAATCAGTAATAAGCTTTATTAAGACAACCCGTTTCATTGTTTCAGTGTTTTTTGTTTTAATTTCCCTTATAGGACTCTGAGATATGTAGAACTTGTTTACTGAGTGGTTTGGTTTGATTAATTTTGACTAGAGATGGGTGAGCAAGTTAAGGCTGTGATTCCAGAGTCACTCTTGAAGAAGAGGAAGAGGAATGAAGAATGGGAGCTTGCCAAAAAACAGGAGCTTGAAGCTGCCAAGAAGAAGAAAGTGGAGAACCGCAAGCTGATTTACTCTAGGGCTAAGCAATACTCAAAGGAGTACGAGACTCAGGTAAATCTGCTGTTCTGTCTGGATTTGTGTTATTTTGTTTTTGTAAGTCTTAAAAGTTTCTGATTTGTATTGTGTGTGGTCTGTAATTGTCAGGAAAGACAGTTGATTGTATTGAAACGGGAGGCAAAGTTGAAAGGAGGATTCTATGTGGATCCAGAAGCCAAGCTCGTGTTTATTATTCGAATCCGTGGGTATGTAAATATTGTGACATTACATTGGTATGTGAATCTAAATTCTAGATGGTAACATATCGTGAATGTTTGTTTTCAGTATCAATGCCATGCACCCAAAGACTAGAAAGATCTTGCAACTCTTGCGTTTGAGACAGGTAGCTTACCAAATCTTTTCCAAAATGTAGAGAAATATGGTTTATGAGACTTGATTTCCTACTAATTCCTGTGTATGTTGTGTCTGCATGAAGTGAATCTCCTTTGAGGTTTGAGATGTGTGTTAAGATATTTGGTTGAAACAGCCTTTTGCTTCGGATATTTTAATGTTGTAATTTCTAGGTGCTGGTGTTTAAGATTTTTTGTCCTAAATTAAATGTATAGCGTGTTAAAGTTTTTGTTTGTTGTATTCTTGTATAGTCTGAAGTTGTTGAGGCTTTGGGCAGTTTGTCCATTTCGATAGTGTAACTCAAAATTGAAAGTTAATACGGTAGCTTCTTGGTGATTGTACACTTAATGTAAAATGTGCATGTTTTGGCATTATGCTGCTTTGGCATGGTTTCACTGGGTGTTTCTTTATAACACTGGACTGAGATTGTGCTTGTTTATTTTATTGGAAACTATTTAATATTTCTTCCAATAAATAAACAGAATCTGAATCTAGATTGTTGATTGGTCAAAAAATCCAAATTGTTGTGTTCTTATCGAATGCAGATTTTCAATGGTGTTTTCCTTAGAGTGAACAAAGCAACGATGAACATGCTTCACCGGGTTGAACCTTATGTGACTTATGGGTATTTTTTACATTTCCTGCTTCCTCACTTTCCCTTTTGATAGTTTTATATACTTGCCATGTCTTATTTCTTAGTAATGTTTGTGTCTAGATACCCAAATCTCAAGAGTGTGCGGGAATTGATTTACAAAAGAGGTTATGGGAAGTTGAACAAGCAGAGAGTTGCTTTGACTGACAATGCAGTTGTTGAGCAGGTCTGTACCCTTTTGCATTTACTTAGTTTCATGTTGGTGCTGAACAAATACTGAGCACAATTGTTTGTTTTTTTTTTTTTTTTTCCTGGTCACAGGCTTTGGGCAGGTTTGGCATCATCTGTGTGGAAGATCTTATCCATGAGATAATGACTGTGGGATCTCATTTTAAGGAGGCTAACAACTTCCTCTGGCCCTTTAAGCTAAAGGCACCATTGGGAGGTCTGAAGAAGAAGAGAAACCATTATGTTGAAGGAGGAGATGCAGGCAACCGTGAGAATTACATCAACGAGCTAATTAGGAGGATGAATTAAACTTGGTCTTATTAGTTAATTTACTGGTTGAGGTATTTTTAGTTTATTCAGAAAGGTGTTGAATTTCTTTTGGAAGTTGGAAACAATTTTTCTTAGAGCTGGAAGATTTGCATGGTGTTACCATTATTTTACCTTGTGACTGAACTTTCTCACAAGTTTTGTTACCTTAAGAAATTTTATTGCATTCAGATGGTGAAATGGTATTTCGAAACAGCATCTGCTACTTGCAGGTTGCAGCATGTTGGCTATTTCATAGTTTGGTTCTTTTGAATCATGAGTTTAAATGAACTCTCCATTTCACAGGTTCAATAGACTACTCCTTTACAAAATCATTAGATCCCACTTTTCTCTTGTTGGCTTAACCTTAAATTGAGATATTCTTAAGATGGCAATGTCAAATGGTAGTAAGAGAGATCAATTACATTTGATTTGATTAGATGAGTTTAGATGATAACAAAGGGCAGTAGTTTCAAACAATGGCCAAAAGTAAGCAACCGAAAGTTCAAGTACGGTCATAAATTTGTTATCCAAATAGTGGTTTTACAACAAAAGACATTGGTTGCAAAATTATTCATTTAGTTTAATAAGAATGAAAAAAAAAAATTAACCGTCCATAAAATATTAAAGTTACTATTAGCAAAATTAATTTTTATAGGGATAACTTTGGGACTAAATTTAAAAGAATAAGAAAAAAATTGTCAATGTTGAAATAACACTAATAAAAAAAATTTAAGAATTGCATAAATTAAGTGTAATTTTGATTTTCGAAATTTGATAATTGAAAAAAACAATCAATTATTTATTCTCATGAAACGCACAATATTATAAACATACATACAATATTTCTGTTATAAGAATCACTATCATCTTATAAACACACAATATTAAATTAAAAAAATAAAATATAAAAAATTAAGTATAATGTATACAATAAAACCAATTCAAGTATTTTTTTTTTAAATAATCGCAATTGAAATGTTAATAAAACTATTAAAACTACTTTCAAATGCTTATTAATATTAATATATGAATTCGACATAAACTTAATTAAAATTAAAATCGAGTCGAATTGTTAATTGGTTATAATATTATTTTTTTTATAAATGTTGAATTAAAATAATTTAAAATAAAAAAGATATTTTAGAAAATATAACGAATTATTTCAAAAAATTCTTTACATCCGCGCTTTTATGTATTTTATAAATTATAGTAAATTGTATACAAAATAGATTATAGATAAGTTAAAATATACGTGATTAATAAAGTAAATACCTTTAGGGAGAAAATAGCAAAAAAAAAAAAAAAAACAGTCTAAGAATTTTATGAGTTGAAATTGGTCTCGACTCTTTAGTGTGTGGAAGCTTCTAAATTTAGGTCCGTCCAAAAGTAAATGGGCTGTAAAATGGGTATTTTTGGTTGGATCATGGCCGGAATTTCTTTTATTTTATTTTATTTTGTTTTTTAACCCAAAACCTAACAGTCAAAACCCAAATCCAACCCTAAAAACCCTAGATTCAGGAAATCAATATATTTGTTAGATCGTGATAATTGCATAAACCCTAAATTGTTCTTGACGTGCCGCAACCCTTTCACAGGACAGAGGTAAGCTTCCGCTGCCCTTTCTGGCAAACCCAATCCCTTTTAATTTCTTTGCTGAAAAATTGTGAGAGTGGAACATCAATTATTTGCAAAAATTTGTATGTTTGTTCATTGGTTATTTTTCTGTTTTTCTTAAATTTTATCAACAATTTATTGTTTTATGCATTGATTTCGTTTTATCAGTCCTTGAAATGACATGGTACTTGCTCAATTTTTTTTTTAAATAATTGCTTATTAGAAAAAAAATATCTTTCTTCTTACTTTTTTTTAGGCTAGCCCATTTCGTTGTCTAGTGTCTTGTGTCTATGTTGTTTCTGCTTGGAATGTTATATACGTAGAACTTGTTTCGTGATTGGTTTTGACTTGATATAATTTTGACTAGAGATAGGTGTGGAAGGCTATGATTCCTGAGTCACTTTTGAAAAATAATAAGAGGAATCAGCTTTTACCATAGTTATATATGGACAATGAGGGACAAGCAACCCCTTTTTTTTAATTTCTTTCCTTTTGTTACTGTTCAAAGAGAAAAAAAAGTAGATATTTTATTTAATAAGATTTTGCTTTAGTGTAGTCACATATTGTACACTTATCCTTTATTTTATTTATTATTTTAAGAATTTCATTTATATCATGCTTTATTGACTCATTTCATATCATGGATAAAAAAAAATAAGTTAAATTCAAAATCGATTCCATGAAATAAAAGAATTAAAAAATCATAAGACTTGCCTTTCAATTATTTTAGATTGATTGAAATCAACACAAATAAAATAGATCAAGCGAAAAAATAAAATTGAGATACTATGTACATTACATATATTTCATGACATATATTTAATTGATATTGACATGTACGAAGATACATATTGTAGATTCATCTATATTAAGCTTGTATCTTTATATATTACAATAATAGATATAGATAGTATGGTAGTAAGATTCATATTTTTTTCTACCATACTATCGAGTTTGATAAGATACAGTTGATTCTAGTCCATTCATTTTATTTAATTTATTTAATACGTGAAATTGGAATCCTTTTTTTCTTAAATCCTTGATAAAAATGAAGAATGGGAACTTGCCAAAAAGCAAGAGCTTGAAGCTGCAAAAAGAAGAGAGTTAAGAATCGCAAGTTGATTTACATTAGGGCTAAGCAATATGCAAAGGAGTACGAGACTCAGGTAAATATGCTATTTTGTTTGGGTTTATGTAAATTTGTATTTATCAAATCATAAAAGTATTGAATTGTATTGTGTGGTTTGTAACCGTTAGGAAAAAGAGTTGATTCGATTGAAGCGAGAGGGGAGGTGAAGTTGAAGGGAGGATTCTATGTCGATCCAGAAGCTAAGTTTTTGTTTATTATTCGAATCCGTGGGAAGTATTGGTATCAGGATGTTAAGATGTAGAGAAGGTAAGGTTGTTTTGGCAAAAATTAAGATAAATATGTTAAGTATTAGTGTGGGTGATAATTTTCAATATTATATCAATCATTTTATAATATACTATTATTTCAGTAGATTTATATCTGCATTATCCAGCTCATTTTTCAAAATCCTTAAATCTTTTCCTTTCTGTAGCTACAGGAAGACATAAAACTTTTAGACGAAAATTAACTAATTTTTTAATTTCTTCCAATATCTTATAAGCTAAAAAAATGTTTTAGATGAATAAACTTTTTAATTTCAAGTCACTTATAAGTTTATTTTATTTTTTTAAGTTTCAACTAAAATGAAAAAAAAAATTTGGGTTTTCCTTGTTAAAAGAGAAAAAAAAGCTGTTAATTAAATATGAAAATTACAAATTTATTATGATTATCGAAATGAATTTATAATGTGGAATCATGTGGTATTGTCCTGCTAATTAAATTTATGTTTCCTTCATTTTGTTACTGAACTTGCTAGTATTTCTGAAAATGTGCATGATCTTTAGTTAATTGGTTTGAACAATAATTAATGTTTCATTATACGGAGAAGTAGTTGAATCTCAACATGGAATAGAACAATTTGATGAAAATAAACGTAATTTCATTTTTTTTACAAAAAAATTTATCAAATGGTTATTACATGTATTCATCCAAGAAAAAAAAAGAAGTTAAAAAGTGGTTCAATTTTAAACATAAATAAAAAAAATAAAAAATAAAAAGATTCTACAACATATTATATTTTTAGCTAAACATTTAAATCAAAATATAACATTTGGATTAATTTTTATTTAAATATATAACATTTAATTTAAATCAAATCAAGACTAATCACTTTTTGGTTTGTTTAAAATTAAAAAAAAAATTTAACAACAATTATATATATACCTCATGAAGTTTAATAATATTGACAGATGATATCTAATTTTGTTAAGATGTTTGCATATTTATAATTTATCTTAATTTATTTATTTATTTTTTATAAAATTATGCTTTTTTTTTACGGCATATTGGGTTCAATGAAATTGGGATTCCATTCCCGTCAAAATTTTTATACTTTTTTCTATTCCATTGTTTGATTTATTTTGTAGTAAAGAGTAATAATCTCATCGAATTTTTATCTCCTCAAGAATTGAAAATGTTATTTATAGAAGAATTTATTCTTATATATTTAATTAATTTCAATTTTGCCCTATAATATTTAATTAATTATATTTATTATGATTAATTAATATTATATTAATTTAATTAATTAAATAATATTAATTATAATAATGCAATTGATAATTAATTTATTAATATTAATTTAATATAATTAAATAATATTAAATACAAAATAATATTAAATTTATATTTAATATTATGAAATATTAAAATATTATTAAATTAATATTTAGTATTAAATTATTATTAAAATAATTTACTATACTAAATAATAATAAATTAAATGGTTAATGTTTAAAATAATATTTAAATATTTGAATATAATATAATGTAATATAATAAATTGTTATTAAATTATTATTTAATTTTAAAATGTTATTAAATTAATCATTAATATTATTAAATATTGTAACATTGTTAAATATTAAAATTTTATTCAATATTCAAATACTATTAATTAATATTTAATATTAAAATATTATCATATATTCAACATTCTCAAATTAATATTTAATCTTAAAATATTTATAAAACAATAGTAAAATATTATTAATATCAATATTTAATATTATTACACAATAAAACAATATTAAATTAATATTTAGTTTTGACTAATATTAAAATATTATTAAAATCATATACAATATATTAAATTGTTATGAAATTAATATTTTATAAAAAAATATTAAAATCGTATTAAATATATAAATATTACTAAATTATTATTTTATATTATTAAATATTAAAATCTTATAAAATTAATAGTTAAATAATAATATAAATATATAAAACTATTACTAATTTCTTTATAATATTAAAATATTAAAATTAATGTTAAATACTAAAATAATATTTAATTTATATTTAATATTAAAATAATATGAAAGTATTATTCAAATAATAGTAAAAATATTATTAAATAAATATTTAATATTATTAGTTTTATATAAAATATTGTTAAATAATATTTAATATTATTTAAAAAATTTTAATATTTTAAAATAATATTTATAACATTAAATTAATATTTAATATTATGAAATTAACATTTAATAATGTGAAATTAAAGTTATTTAAATTTAATATTTAGTGAGATTAATTTCGCATTAATATTTAATTTTTGTATTACTTTATTATGAATTATTATTCATTTTTATTAATTAATAATTTAATAATAAATTATAAAACTAAAATAATTTTTTGAATTTAATCCTTTTTTTTTTTTAACTAACCAAACATATTAATACTATATTTCTTTCTCTGTTCCATTCTCAGAAACCAACTTAATAATATATATGTTATTATATTCTTATTACTATTCCTTTTACTATATCCACAAAATATAAATTTCATTCCTTTTTTATTCTATTTCGCCACAAGACAAACCAAATACTTAATGTAGCGTGTGAATTAGTGATGCAAAAGTAGAAGATTTCTTTTAAGAAGGCAAAGAAAAAGAGAGAAATAAGAATTTCATGGTTGAAGATGAAAGAGTAACATGGCGGATGTGACTCTACAGCCGGTGTCGGCTACACAGGGATGTGTGCCGTTGTGGAGATGTCATTTTGACTAAGGTTTGGCATCTTATATGGTTTTGACAGAAAGGTTTCCTGCCATCTAGTAAAAATGACATGTCATGTATTATTTTAAGGGATGAAACGATTTAAATTCTAAATTAATCATTTACCCAATTTATTTGCCCCACCCCACCTTCAATGGTAACTTGGTCTGCTTCTAATTCAAAAGGAAAAGTTCCATCATTCTATTACAACCTTTCTCATTTTTTCCAATCTAAAAAGCTGTGAAATTTTTTTGTCAGATATTGGATGGGAGAAACTAATGCCATTGTTGAATCAATCCATTGTTGCTTGGATCCATGCACCAATAGAGACGGAAAAGGTAGGAGAAGCTTTACTGTAAGGGCCACATGAGAGAGAGAGACGGGTGGGGCATGTGACCTGTCAACTATTATTGTAACATTTAGTCACACATCACTTTCATTAGTCAGTACCTAATGCTTGGCTAAGACTCCTCTAGTCAATTCGTTCACTGACTCTAACTCAATTTTGCTTGGGTTTTAGGGCAAGAATAGGACATTTCCAACTTACATGTATTTATTTATTGCTTCTAAATTTAGGATTGTTGTCGTCTAGAAATCTTACCAAAAATTAATGAAAATAATGAAGTTTATACTTCAAAACAATGTATCGGTCCACATTTAATGTTTTATGTTTGACTTTTTCATAGAAGAATCTAAATTCAAGTGTTATTCATATATATATATATATATGTATATATATACTTTGCTCTTTAAATAAGAGATTATGCTTCGATTAATAAATCAAATGTTCCAATGAAAAAATAATTTTAAAATTTCTCGGTCCAAAATACATGTTGTGATCCCATGTAACACGTTTTATCCTCTGCATAAAAATTATTTTGATCACTACTTTCCTTACCATTTGCTATTAGATGCATGAAGCCTTGGGCCAGTTTTATATTAGTAAGGGGAGAAAAACTGTAAATGTGGATACATTTTCTATTATTCTGCTTGGACAAAAGGGCTTTTGTTTATTATGAAATTTAAATTTACATTATTAATAATATAAAAAAATGTATCATTGTCATCTCTATGGGAACATTGATCCTCTAATAATTGCCACACCGATCCGATCTACATTTTGATAACATTAGTTTTTAAATTATGAAGATGCATCTAAATAGAAAATATACAATATGAAAACAAAATATGATAACATTATTATTATTTTTTTTGTTAACACATTCATATACAGTTCAATATTATAAAAGATCCATACTTAAACTTTTTTTATTAACATTTAGTGGGGTGGAAAACAAAATATTAAAAATTGAATTTATTTTTAATAATCTTACTTGTTATTTTAAAATTTTAATGAGGGCAAAATATAAGAATAATTTATATTTGGGATCGTTTACTAATAAAAATATTCAAACTTCAAGATTTTATTGCAGGCAACTGCCTTCACTTCCCCCACCTTAGATTCGTCTCTGCATGCATAAATTGCATGCTTATAACTTGGGTTTCACTATTTCTCTTTCTAAAAAATTATATATGAAAAAATATATCCATATATATATATATATTCCCTAATTTTTCTTACAAAATAAAACCAAAACAACAATAGATGTTAGATCATGAAGCTTTGACTAGTGATGATGTGTTCCCATTTTTAGAAAATTGACTTTGTAGGTAAAGTTCAAAAAATTTTGAAAAGTAACAGTAAAAAGATATATGATTTGATATATTGATTAGAAATTTTTAATTTTATAAGCGGGATTAATAAGATGATGCATATTTTAAAGGTGAATTTAAAAAATAAAAAAATTAATTTAAAAAAAAATGAAACATGTATTATTTTATTAATCCTTTTGGTGAAGGTAAAAAAATTTACTGTTAGTATATTAAATAAATTTTCTTAATAAAAAGGTAAAATAAGACACCAATATTCCAATTTTAAGCTGTTTTTTTTTTTAATTTTAAGCACAAAAGGAAAATGCATTTCTAAATGCTGCTGGTATATACAAATTAAAAGTTTAGTTTAATTTATAACAGCTAAATTGGCAACTGATAATAATGGGATCCGTGGCGCAATGGTAGCGCGTCTAACTCCAGATCAGAAGGTTGCGTGTTTGATTCACATCGGGTTCAAATTGCCGTCAGGGGATCCACCATTTTGCCACTTTCTGGTATAGGCCCATCGGGACTTCCAATATTTTGGGCTGAACCCGATATTAGTCCTGTCGAAAACCGAAGTTATTACATCAACGGCAGCGAATGCTTTTGAGGAAAAAATTGAATCCCCGCCGTTGAATGAGAAACCTAGCAAAACCCTATATATCTAAAATTTTATTGGTTTCCTTCTGCCTCCTATTTATCACTTGCAAAAACTCTAAAAATCCTCTTCGGTCGCCGGATCCGACCCTCCACAGTCCGCTGAGGTGAGCCTTCCGCTCTACTTTCTGTTAAACAAAACCCTCCTTTATTTTCTTTGATGAGAAATCCGTATTTTCATTGTTTATTTTTCTGTTTTGCTTAAATTTTTATTAACTATTTATTCCTATAGCCATTGGTTTTGTTTTATCAGTCCTTTAAATGGCATGGATGCCTGCATAATTTCCTGTTTCTTATGTAATTGCTTATTTGAAAAATGGGTCTTTCTTCTTACCTAGATTGTGCAGGATTTAATCAGTAATAAGCTTTATTAAGACAACCCATTTCATTGTTTCAGTGTTTTTTGTTTTAATTTCCCTTATAGGACTTTGAGATATGTAGAACTTGTTTACTGAATGGTTTGGTTTGATTAATTTTGACTAGAGATGGGTGAGGAAGTTAAGGCTGTGATTCCAGAGTCACTCTTGAAGAAGAGGAAGAGGAATGAAGAATGGGAGCTTGCCAAAAAACAGGAGCTTGAAGCTGCCAAGAAGAAGAAAGTGGAGAACCGCAAGCTGATTTACACTAGGGCTAAGCACTATGCAAAGGAGTACGAGGCTCAGGTAAATCTGCTGTTCTGTCTGGATTTGTGTTATTTTGTTTTTGTAGGTCTTAAAAGTTTCTGATTTGTATTGTGTGTGGTCTGTAATTGTCAGGAAAGAGAGTTGATTCGATTGAAACGGGAGGCAAAGTTGAAAGGAGGATTCTATGTGGATCCAGAAGCCAAGCTGGTGTTTATTATTCGAATCCGTGGGTATGTAAATATTGTGACATTACATTGGTATATGAATCTAAATTCTAGATGGTAACATATTGTGAATGTTTGTTTTCAGTATCAATGCCATGCACCCAAAGACTAGAAAGATCTTGCAACTCTTGCGTTTGAGACAGGTAGCTTACCAAATCTTTTCCTAAACGTAGAGAAATATGGGTTATGAGACTTGATTTCCTACTAATTCCTGTGTATGTTGTGTCTGCATGAAGTGAATCTCCTTTGAGGTTTGAGATGTGCGTTAAGATATTTGGTTGAAACAGCCTTTCTCTTCGGATATTTTAATGTTGTAATTTCTAGGTGCTGGTGTTTAAGATTTTTTGTCCTAAATTAAATGTATAGCATGTTAAAGTTTTTGTTTGTTGTTTTCTTGTATAGTCTGAAGTTGTTGAGGCTTTGGGCTGTTTGTCCATTTCGATAGTGTAACTCAAAATTGAAAGTTAATGCGGTAGCTTCTTGGTGATTGTACACTTAATGTAAAATGTGCATGTTTTGGCATGGTTTCACTGGGTGTTTCTGTATAACACTGGACTGAGATTGTGCTTGTTTATTGTATTGGAAACTATTTAATATTTCTTCCAATAAATAAACAGAATCTGAATCTAAATGTTGATTGGTCAAAAAATCCAAATTGTTGTGTTCTTATCGAATGCAGATTTTCAATGGTGTTTTCCTTAAAGTGAACAAGGCAACGATGAACATGCTTCACCGGGTTGAACCTTATGTGACTTATGGGTATTTTTTACATTTCCTGCTTCCTCACTTTCCCTTTTGATAGTTTTATATACTTGCCATGTCTTATTTCTTAGTAATGTTTGTGTCTAGATACCCAAATCTCAAGAGTGTGCGGGAATTGATTTACAAAAGAGGTTACGGGAAGTTGAACAAGCAGAGAGTTGCTTTGACTGACAATGCAGTTGTTGAGCAGGTCTGTATCCTTTTGCATTTACTGAGTTTCATGTTGGTGCTGAACAAATACTGAGCACAATTGTTTTTTTTTTTTTTACTGGTCACAGGCTTTGGGCAAGTTTGGCATCATCTGTGTGGAAGATCTTATCCATGAGATAATGACTGTGGGATCTCGTTTTAAGGAGGCTAACAACTTCCTCTGGCCCTTTAAGCTAAAGGCACCATTGGGAGGTCTGAAGAAGAAGAGAAACCATTATGTTGAAGGAGGAGATGCAGGCAACCGTGAGAATTACATCAACGAGCTAATTAGGAGGATGAATTAAACTTGGTCTTATTAGTTAATTTACTGGTTGAGGTATTTTTAGTTTATTCAGAAAGGTGTTGATTTTCTTTTGGAAGTTGGAAACAATTTTTGTTAAAGCTGGAAGATTTGTATGGTGTTACCATTATTTTACCTTGTGACTGAACTTTCTCGCAAGTTTTATTGCATTCAGATGGTTAAATGGTATTTCGAAACTGCATCTGCTACTTGCAGGTTGCAGCATGTTGGTTATTTCATAGTTTGGTTCTTTTGAATCATGAGTTTAAATGAACTCTCCATTTCACAGGTTCAATAGACTACTCTACAAAATCTTTAGATCCCACTTTTCTCTTGTTGGCTTAACCTTAAATTGAGATATTCTTAAGATGGCAATATCAAATGGTAGTAAGAGAGATTAATTACATTTGATTTGATTAGATGAGGTTAGATGATAACAAAGGGCAGTAGTTTCAAACAATGGCAAAAAGTAAGCAACCGAAAGAGTTCAAGTACGGTCATAAATTTGTTATCCAAATAATGGTTTTACAACGAAAGACGTTGGTTACAAAATTATTCATTTAGTTTAATAAGAATGAAAAAAAAAAAAAATGAACCCTCCATAAAATATTAAGGTTACTATTAGCAAGATTAATTTTTATAGGGATAACTTTGGGACTAAATTTAAAAGAATAAGAAAAAAGATTGTCAATGTTGAAATAATAATAAAAAAAAATTTAAGAATTAAATAAATCAGGTGTAATTTTGATTTTCGAACTTTGATAATTAAAAAAAATTTTTTTATCCTCATGAAATGCACAATACTAGAAACACACATACAATATTCCTGATATAAGAATTACTATCATCTTATAAACACACAATATTAAATTAAAAAAATAAAACATAAAAAATTAAATATAATGTATACAATAAAACCAACTGAAGTATGTTTTTTTTTTTTAAATAATCGCAATTGAAATGTTAATAAAACTATTAAAACTACAATTTTTGTTTCAAATGCTTATTAGTATTAATATATGAATTTGCTGTAAACTTAGTTAAAGTTAAAATCGAATCGAATTGTTAATTTGATTATAATATTATTTTTTTTATAAATATTGAATTAAAATAATTTGGAACAAAAAAGATATTTTAGAAAATATAAAGAATTAGTCCAAAAGATTCTTTACATCCCCGCTTTTATGTATTTTATAAATTATAGTAAATTGTATACAATATAGATTATAGATAAGTTAAAATGTATGGTGATTGATGAAGTAAACACCTTTAGGGAGAAAATAGCAAAAAAAAAAAAAGTCTAAGAATTTTATGAGTTGAAATTGGTCTCGACTCTTTAGTGAGTGGAAGCTTCTAAATTTAGGTCCGTCCAAAAGTAAATGGGCTGTAAAATGGGTATTTTTGGTTGGATCATGGCTGGAATCTCTGTTGTTTTATTTTATTTTGTTTTTTAACCCAAAACCTAACAGTCAAAAACCCAAATCCAACCCTAAAAACCCTAGATTCAGGAAATCAATATATTTGTTAGATCGTGATAATTACAGAAACCCTAAATTGTTCTTTACCTTCCGCAGCCCTTTCACAGGACAGAGGTAAGCTTCCGCTGCCCTTTCTGGCAAACCCAATCCCTTTTAATTTCTTTGTTGAAAAATTGTGAGAATGGAACATCAATTATTTGTAAAAATTTGTATGTTTGTTCATTGGTTATTTTCTGTTTTTCTTAAATTTTATCAACCATTTATTCATTCATGCATTGATTTCATTTTATCAGTTCTTGAAATGACATGGTACTTGCTTAATTTCATTTTTTAAAAATAATTGCTTATTAGAAAAAAAAGGATCTTTCTTCTTACTTTTTTTAGGCTAGCCCTTTTCGTTGTCTAGTGTTTTGTGTCTATGTTTTTTCTTTTTGGAATGTTATATACGTAAAACTTGTTTCCTGATTGGTTTTAGCTTGATATAATTTTGACTAGAGATAGGTGAGTAGGTTAAGGTTGTGATTCCTGAGTCACTTTTGAAAAAGAATAAGAGGAATGAAAAATGTGAGGTTGCCAAAAAGCAAGAGGAATGAAAAATGTAAGGTTGCCAAAAAGCAAGAGCTTGAAGTTGCAAAAAAGAAGAGAGTTGAGAATCGAAACTGATTTACATTAGGGCTAAGCACTATGCAAAAGAGTAGGAGACTCAGGTAAATATGCTGTTCTGTTTGGGTTTATGTAAATTTGTATTTATCAAATCATAAAAGTGTCTGAATTGTATTGTGTGGTTTGTAACTGTTAGGAAAAAGAGTTGATTCAATTGAAGCGGGAGGGGAGGCGAAGTTGAATGGAGGATTCTATGTCGATCTAGAAGCTAAGCTTTTGTTTATCATTCGAATCCATGGGAAGTATTGGCATTAGGATGTTAAGATGTAGAGAAGGTAAGTTTGTTTTGGCATAAATTAAGATAAATATGTTAAATATTAGTGTGGGTGATAATTTTCAATATTATATCAATCATTTTATAATATACTACTATTTAAGTAGATTTATATCTGCATTATCCAGCTCATTTTTCAAAATACTTAAATCTTTTCCTTTTTGCTACAAGAAGACATAAAACTTTTAGATGGAAAGTAACTAATTTTTTAATTTCTTGCAATATCTTACAAGCTAAAAAAAGGTTTTAGATCAATAAACTTTTTAATTTCAAGTCACTTATAAGTTTATTTTCTTAAAAAAAAGTTTCAATTAAAATGAAAATTTTTTTTTTTGGGTTTTTCATGTTAAAAGAGAAAAAAAACTATTAATTAAATATGAAAATTACAAATTTATTATGATTATCGAAATAAATTTATAATGTAGAATCATGTGGTATTGTCTTGCTAATTAAATTCATGTTTCCTTCATTTTGTCATTGAACTTGTTAGTATTTCAAAAAATATGCATGTTCTTTAGTTAGTTGGTTTGAATAAAAATTAATGTTTCATTGTACGGAGAAGTAGTTGGGTCTCATCATGGAATAGAACAATTTGATGAAAATAAACGTAATTTCATTTTTTTTATAAAAAAATTTATCAAATGGTTATTACATGTATTCGTCCAAGAAAAAAAAAAGAAGTTAAAAAGTGATTCAATTCGAAACATAAAAAAAAATAAAAAATAAAAAGATGCTATAACATATTATATTTTTAACTAAATATTTAAATCAAAATATAACATTTGGACTAATTCTCATTTAAATATATAACATTTAATTTGAATCAAATCAAGACCAATCACTTTTTAATTTGTTTAAAATAAAATAAAAAAATTTTAACAACAATGATATATATGCCTTATGAAGTTCAATAATATTGACAGATGACATCTAATTTTGTCAAGATGTTTGCATATTTGTAATTTATCATAATTTATTTTTTTATAAAATTATGCTTCTTTTTACAACATATTGGGTTGGATGAAATTGGGATTCCATCCCCTTCAAAATTTTTATACATTTTTCTATTCCATTGTTTGATTTATTTTGTACTAAAGAGTAATAATTTCATCGAATTCTTATCTCATCAAGAATTGAAAATGTTATTTATAGAATAATTTATTTTTATATATTTAATTAATTTAAATTTTGCCCTCTAATATTTAATTAATTATATTTATTATGATTAATTAATATTATATTAATTTAATTAATTAAATAATATTAATTATAATAATGCAATTGATAATTAATTTATTAATATTAATTTAATACAATTAAATAATATTAAAAACAAAAGTATTATTAAATTTATATTTAATATTATCAAATATTAAAATATTATTAAATTAATATTTAGTATTAAATTATTATTAAAATAATTTACTATACTAAATAATAATAAATTAAATAGTTAATATTTAAAATAATATTTAAATATTTGAATATAATATAATGTAATATAATAAATTGTTATTAAATTATTATTTTATTTTAAAATGTTATTAAATTAATCATTAGTATTATTAAATATTGTAACATTGTTAAATATTAAAATATTATTCAATATTCAAATACTATTAATTAGTATTTAATATTAAAATATTATCATATATTTCAATAGTGTAACTCAAAATTGAAAGTTAATGCGGTAGCTTCTTGGTGATTGTACACTTAATGTAAAATGTGCATGTTTTGGCATTATGCTGCTTTGGCATGGTTTCACTGGGTGTTTCTTTATAACACTGGACTGAGATTGTGCTTGTTTATTGTATTGGAAACTATTTAATATTTCTTCCAATAAATAAACAGAATCTGAATCTAAATTGTTGATTGGTCAAAAAATCCAAATTGTTGTGTTCTTATCGAATGCAGATTTTCAATGGTATTTTTCTTAAAGTGAACAAGGCAACAATGAACATGTTTCACCGGGTCGAACCTTATGTGACTTGCGGGTATTTTTTATATTTCCTGCTTCCTCACTTTCCCTTTTGATAGTTTTATATACTTGCCATGTCTTATTTCTTAGTAATGTTTGTGTCTAGATACCCCCCAAATCTCAAGAGTGTGCGGGAATTGATTTACAAAAGAGGTTACGGGAAGTTGAACAAGCAGAGAGTTGCTTTGACTGACAATGCAATTGTTGAGCACGTCTGTATCCTTTTGCATTTACTTAGTTTCATGTTGGTGCTGAACAAATACTGAGCACAATTGTTTTTTTTTTTTTTTAACTGGTCACAGGCTTTGGGCAAGTTTGGCATCATCTGTGTGGAAGATCTTATCCATGAGATAATGACGGTGGGATCTCATTTTAAGGAGGCTAACAACTTCCTCTGGCCCTTTAAGCTAAAGGCACCATTGGGAGGTCTGAAGAAGAAGAGAAACCATTATGTTGAAGGAGGAGATGCAGGCAACCGTGAGAATTACATCAACGAGCTAATTAGGAGGATGAATTAAACTTGGTCGTATTAGTTAATTTACTGGTTGAGGTATTTTTAGTTTATTCAGAAAGGGGTTGAATTTCTTTTGGAAGTTGAAACAATTTTTGTTAAAGCTGGAAGATTTGCATGGTGTTAGCATTATTCTACCTTGTGACTGAACTTTCTCACAAGTTTTGTTGAAATTTTATTGCATTCAGATGTTGAAATGGTATTTCGAAACAGCATCTGCTACTTGCAGGTTGCAGCATGTTGGCTATTTCATAGTTTGGTTCTTTTGAATCATGAGTTTAAATGAACTCTCCATTTCACAGGTTCAATAGACTACTCCTCTACAAAATCTTTAGATCCCACTTTTCTCTTGTTGGCTTAACCTTAAATTAAGATATTCTTAAGATGGCAATATCAAATGGTAGTAAGAGAGATCAATTACATTTGATTTGATTAGATGAGTTTAGATGATAACAAAGGGCAGTATAAGAATAAATTATTCTATAAATAACATTTTCAATTCTTAATGAGATAAAATTTTGATAAAATTGTTATTCTTTATTATAAAATAAATCAAACAATGAAATAAAAAAAAGTATAAAAATTTTGACGGAAACGGAATCCCAATTCCATCTAACCAAATATGTTGTAAAAAAAACATTAATTTTATAAAAAAATAAATTATGATAAATTACAAATATGCAAATATCTTGACAAAGTTAAATGTCATGTGTAAATATTATTGAACTTCATGAGTCACATTAATCATTGTTGTTAAAAAAATTTTATTTTATTTTAAACATACCAATAAGTGATTACTCTTGATTTAATTCAAATTAAATGTTATATATTTAAATGAGAATTAGTCCAAATGTTATATTTTGATTTAAATGTTTAGCTAAAAATATAATATGTTGTAACATCTTTTTATTTTTTATTTTTTTTATTTATGTTTAAAATTGAACTACTTTTTAACTTCTTTTTTTTTCTCGGACGAATGCATGTAATAACTATTTGATAAATTTTTTTGTAAAAAAAATGAAATTACGTTTATTTTTATCAAATTGTTCTATTCCATGTTGAGACCCAATTACTTCTCCGTATAATGAAACATTAATTCTTGTTCAAACCAACTAACTAAAAAACATGCACATTTTCTGAAATACTAGCAAGTTCAGTAACAAAATAAAGGAAACATGAATTTAATTAACAAAACAATACCACATGATTCCACATTATAAATTCATTTCGATAATCATAATAAATTTATAATTTTCATATTTAATTAACAGCTTTTTTTCTCTTTTAACATGAAAAACCCAAAATTTTTTTTTCATTTTAATTGAAACTTTTTTTTTAGAAAATAAACTTATAAGTGACTTAAAATTAAATAGTTTATTGATCTAAAACCTTTTTTTTAGCTTGTAAGATATTGGAAGAAATTAAAAAATTAGTTACTTTCCATTTAAAAGTTTTATGTCTTACTGTAGCAGAAAGGAAAAAATTTAAGGATTTTGAAAAATGAGCTGGATAATGCAGATATAAATCTACTGAAATAGTAGTATACTATAAAATGATTGATATAATATTGGAAATTATCACCCACACTAATATTTAACATATTTACCTTAATTTATGCCAAAACAAACTTACCTTCTCTACATCTTAACATCCCGATGCCAAATACTTCCCACAGATTCGAATGATAAACAAAAGCTTAGCTTCTGGATCGACATAGAATCCTCCCTTCAACTTCGCCTCCCCTCCCGCTTCAAATCAACTCTTCTTCCTAACGGTTAGAGACCACACAATACAATTCAGACACTTTTATGATTTGATAAATACAAATTTACATAAACCCAAACAGAACAGCATATTTACCTTAGCCTCGTACTCCTTTGCATATTGCTTAGCTCTAGTATAAATCAGCTTGCGATTCTCAACTCTCTTCTTTTTTGCAGCTTTAAGCTCCCATTCTTCATTTTTATCAAGGATTTAAGAAAAAGAGGATTCCAATTTCACATCTTAAATAAATTAAATAAAATGAATGGACTAGAATCAGCAGTATCCTATCAAACTCGATAGTATGGTAGGAAAAAATATGAATCTTTCTACCATACTATCTATATCTATTATTGTAATGTGTAAAGATACAAGCTTAATATAGATGAATCTACAATATGTATCTTCATACATGTCGATATCAATTAAATATATGTAATGAAATATATGTAATATACATAGTATCTCAATTTTATTTCTTCGCTTGATTTATTTTATTTGTGTTGATTTCAATCAATCTGAAATAATTGAATGGCAAGTCTTACGATTTTTTAATTCTTTCATTTCATGGAACTTATTTTGAATTTAACTTCTTTTCTTTGATCCATGATATGAAATGAGTCAATAAAGCATGGCATAAATAAAATTCCTAAAATAATAAATAAAACAGGGGGTAAGTGTGCAATATGTGACTACACTAAGGCAAGATCTTATTAAATAAAAGAACTACTTTTTTTCTCTTTGAACAGTAACAGTAAAGAGGGAAGGAAATAAAAACAAACAAATACAGAAAAAAGGGGGGGTTCCTTGTCCCTCATTGTCCATATATAACTCTGGTAAGAGCTGATTTCTCTTATTCTTTTTCAAAAGTGACTCAGCAATCACACCCTTAACCTCCTCACCTATCTCTAGTCAAAATTATATCAAGCCAAAACCAATCAGGAAACAAGTTCTACATATATAACATTCCAAGAAATCCAGACAGAACAGTAGATTTACCTGAGCCTCGTACTCCTTTGCATATTGCTTAGCCCTAGTGTAAATAAGCTTGCGGTTCTCCACTTTTTTCTTCTTGGCAGCTTCAAGCTCCTGTTTTTTGGCAAGCTCCCATTCTTCATTCCTCTTCCTCCTCTTCAAGAGTGACTCTGGAATCACAGCCTTAACTTCCTCACCCATCTCTAGTCAAAATTAATCAAACTAAACCATTCAGTAAACAAGTTCTACATATCTCAGAGTCCTATAAGGGAAATTAAAACAAAAAACACTGAAACAATGAAATGAGTTGTCTTAATAAAGCTTATTACTGACTAAATCCTGCACAATCTAGGTAAGAAGAAAGACCCATTTTTCAAATAAGCAATTACATAAGAAACAGGAAATTATGCAGGCATCCATGCCATTTAAAGGACTGATAAAACAAAACCAATGCCTATAGGAATAAATAGTTAATAAAAATTTAAGCAAAACACAAAAATAAACAATGAAAATACGGATTTCTCATCAAAGAAAATAAAGGAGGGTTTTGTTTAACAGAAAGTAGAGCGGAAGGCTCACCTCAGGGGACTGTGGAGAGTCGGATCCGGCGACCGAAGAGGATTTTTAGAGTTTTTGCTAGTGATAAATAGGAGGCAGAAGGAAACCAATAAAATTTTAGATATATAGGGTTTTGCTAGGTTTCTCATTCAACGGCGGGGATTCAATTTTTTCCTCAAAAGCATTCGCTGCCGTTGATGTAACCAACCAAAAGTTCAAGTACGGTCAGAAAGTTGTTATCCAAATAGTGGTTTTACAACAAAAGACACTGGTAACAAAAAATCGAAATTGTTGTGTTCTTATCGAATGCAGATTTTTAATGGTGTTTTCTTTAAAGTGAACAAGGTAACGATGAACATGCTTCACCGAGTTGAACCTTATGTGGCTTATGGGTATTTTTTACATTTCCTGCTTCCTCACTTTCCCTTTTGATAGTTTTATATACTTGCCATGTCTTATTTCTTAGTAATGTTTGTGTCTAAATACCCAAATCTCAAGAGTGTGCGGGAATTGATTTACAAAAGAGGTCATGGGAAGTTGAACAAGCAGAGAGTTGCTTTGACTGACAATGCAATTGTTGAGCAGGTCTGTATCCTTTTGCATTTACTTAGTTTCATGTTGGTGCTGAACAAATACTGAGCACAATTGTTTTTTTTGTTTTTTTACTGGTCACAGGCTTTGGGCAAGTTTGGCATCATCTGTGTGGAAGATCTTTTCCATGAGATAATGACTGTGGGATCTCATTTTAAGGAGGCTAACAAGTTCCTCTGGCCCTTTAAGCTAAAGGCACCATTGGGAGGTCTGAAGAAGAAGAGAAACCATTATGTTGAAGGAGGAGATGCAGGCAACCGTGAGAATTACATCAACGAGCTAATTAGGAGGATGAATTAAACTTGGTCTTATTAGTTAATTTACTGGTTGATGTATTTTTAGTTTATTCGGAAAGGTGTTGAATTTCTTTTGGAAGTTGGAAACAATTTTTGTTAAAGCTGGAAGATTTGCATGGTGTTAGCATTATTCTACCTTGTGACTGAACTTTCTCATAAGTTTTGTTACCTTAAGAAATTTTATTGCATTCAGATGGTGAGATGGTATTTCGAAACTGCATCTGCTACTTGCAGGTTGCAGCATGTTGGTCTTTTCATAGTTTGGTTCTTTTGAATCATGAGTTTAAATGAACTCTCCATTTCACAGGTTCAATAGACTACTCCTCTACAAAATCTTTAGATCCCACTTTTCTCTTGTTGGCTTAACCTTAAATTGAGATATTCTTAAGATGGCAATATCAAATAGTAGTAAGAGAGATCAATTATATTTGATTTGATTAGATGAGTTTAGATGATAACAAAGGGCAGTAGTTTCAAACAATGGCCAAAAGTAAGCAACCGAAAGTTCAAGTACGGTCATAAATTTGTTATCCAAATAGTGGTTTTACAACAAAAGACATTGGTTGCAAAATTATTCATTTAGTTTAATAAGAATGAAAAAAAAAAATTAACCGTCCATAAAATATTAAAGTTACTATTAGCAAAATTAATTTTTATGGGTATAAGTTTGGGACTAAATTTAAAAGAATAAGAAAAAAAATTGTCAATGTTGAAATAATAATAAAAAAATTTAAGAATTGCATAAATCAAGTGCAATTTTGATTTTATAACTTTGATAATTAAAAAAAAATCAATTATTTATCCTCATGAAATGCACAATATTAGAAACACACATACAATATTCCTGGTATAAAAATCACTATCATCTTATAAACACACAATAGTAAATTAAAAAATTAAAACATAAAAAATTAAAAATAATGTATACAATAAAACCAATTGAAGTATGTTTTTTTTTTTTAAATAATCGTAATTGAAATGTTAATAAAACTATTAAAACTACAATTTTTGTTTCAAATGCTTATTAATATTAATATATGAATTCACCGTAAACTTAGTTAAAGTTAAAATCGAGTCGAATTGTTAATTGATTATAATATTACTTTTTTTATAAATATTGAAATAAATAATTTAAAACAAAAAAAATATTTTAGAAAATATAACGAATTAGTCCAAAAGATTCTTTACATCCTCGCTTTTATGTATTTTATAAATTATAGTAAATTGTATACAATATAGATTATAGATAAGTTAAAATGTATGATGATTGATGAAGTAAATAACTTTAGGGAGAAAATAGCAAAAAAAAAAAAGTCCAAAAATTTTATGAGTTGAAATTGGTCTCGACTTTTAGCGTGTGGAAGCTTCCAATTTTAGGTCCGTCCAAAAGTAAATGGGCTGTAAAATGGGTATTTTTAGTTGGATCATGGCAGGAATCTCTTATTTTATTTTATTTTTTTTACTCAAAACCTGACAGTCAAAAGCCCAAATCCAACCCTAAAAACCCTAGATTCAGGAAATCAGTATATTTGTTAGATCGTGATAATTGCAGAAACCTTAAATTATTCTTTACCACAGAGGTAAGCTTCCGCTGCCCTTTCTGGCAAACCCAATCCCTTTTAATTTCTTTGCTGAAAAATTGTGAGAGTGGAACATCAATTATTTGCAAAAATTTGTATGTTTGTTCATTGGTTATTTTTCTGTTTTTCTTAAATTTTATCAACAATTTATTCGTTTATGCATTGATTTCGTTTTATCAGTTCTTGAAATGACATGGTACTTCCTCAATTTCGTTTTTTTTTTTTTAAATAATTGCTTGTTAGAAAAAAAGTGTCTTTCTTCTTACTTTTTTTTAGGCTAGCCCATGTCGTTGTGTGTCTGTTTTTTCTTCTTGGAATGTTATATATGTAGAACTTGTTTCCTGATTGGTTTTGGCTTGATATAATTTTGACTATAGATGGATGAGGAGGTTAAGGCTGTGATTCCTGAGTCACTCTTGAAAAAGAATAAGAGGAATGAAGAATGGGAGCTTGCCAAAAAGCAGGAGCTTGAAGCTGCAAAAAAGAAGAGAGTTGAGAATCGCAAGCTGATTTACACTAAGGGTTAACCAATATGCAAAGGAGTACGAGGCTCAGGTAAATATGCTGTTCTGTTTGGGTTTATGTAAATTTGTATTTATCAAATCATAAAAGTGTTTGAATTGTATTGTGTGGTTTGTAAGCGTTAGGAAAAAGAGTTGATTCAATTGAAGCGGGAGGCAAAGTTGAAGGGAGGATTCTATGTTGATCCAGAGCTAAGCTTGTGTTTATCATTCGAATCTGTGGGTATGTGTTTATTGTGACATTTCATTGGCTTATGAATCTAAATTCTAAATAGTAACATGTTGTGAATGTTTGTTTTCCTTATCAATGCCATGCATCCAAGGACAAGAAAGATCTCGCAGCTCTTGCGTTTGAGACAGGTAGCTTACCAAATCTTTTCCAAAACTAAGAGGAATAAGGGTTATGAGAATCGATTCCCCACTTTTACCTGTGTGTATGTCGTGTGTGTATTAAGTGAATTTCCCTTTGAGGGGTAAGATGTGTGTTAAGATATCCGGTTCAAATAACCTTGCTCTTTTAATGTGTTGCTGTTTTGTTTTTATAATTTGAAGTTGTTGAAACTTTAGGTGTATTTGTATTGCTTGGGGATTAGGCGACTCTATGCTCCATAAACTGAAAGTTAGTTTTTTTGTTACTGCCATTGGTAGTTTGGTTGATTTGTAGTGGTTTTTTGCTGCTACTTGGCTAAATTGAAAGTTATTGTAACTTTGGGCAGTTTGTCATTTTGATAGTGCAACTCAAAATTGGAAATTAATGTTGTAGCATCTTAGTGATTGTGAACTTAGTGTCAAACTTTCATGTTTTTTTATAATGCTGCTTTGCCATGGTAACTCTGGGCCTCTCTTTCTAACACTGTAGGGAGATGGTGATTGTTAATGTATATGTTACTATTTAACATTTTCTTCTAATAAATAAGTCCAAGTGGAATCTAAATTGTTGTGTTTGCTCTTTTCCTATGAAGATTTTCAATGGTGTTTTTCTTAAAAGTGAACAAGGCAACAATGAACATGCTTCACATGGTTGAACCTTATGTGACTTATGGGTATCTTTTGCCTTTCCTGCTTCCTCACTTTCCCTTTTGATAGTATTTTATACTTGCCAAGTCTTATTTCTCAGTAATATATGCTTCTAGATACTCTAATCTCAAGAGTGTGCGGGAACTGATTTACAAAAGAGGTTATGGGAAGTTGAACAAGCAAAGAGTTGCTTTGACTGACAACGAAATTGTTGAGCAGGTCTGTATCCTTTTGCATTTACAAGGTTTCATGTAAGTGCTGAACATTTAGCAAGCTCGCTTGTTTTCTGTACTGGTTACAGGCTCTTGGCAAGTTTGGCATCATCTGTGTGGAAGATCTTATCCATGAGATCATGACTGTGGGACCTCATTTTAAGGAGGCCAACAACTTCCTCTGGCCCTTTAAGCTCAAGGCACCACTGGAAGGTCTGAAAAAGAAGAGAAACCGTTATGTTGAAGGAGGAGATGCTGGCAATCGCGAGAATTACATCAATAAGCTAATTAGGGGAATGAATTAGACTTGCTGATCTCAATTTCTTTTGGAAGTTAGAAACAGTTTTGTTAAAAGCTTGGAAATTTGCATGGGTTTACCATTATGCTGCTTTGTGACTGTACTTTCTCAGAGTATTGTTGCCCTCAGAAATTTTATTGCTAATACACTTAATTTGGTTATTTCTACTTGGAGCATTTTGTTTGTTATTTCAGTAGTGTGGTTCTTTTGAAACTTTAGTAATATGATGTGCAAATATATATAAAATTTTTTAAATTTAAAATAATTTTTAAAAATAGAGTAAAGTTTATGTCTTAACTTATGTTCTTCTATTGGAAATAAGTATTTTCTAAGCTTTTATCTTCTATTAAGAGTATTACTTGAACAATTTTTTTAAAAAGAAGTATTTAAACAGAATATAAATAAATTACTTAAAATATGTTTATATAAACCTTTAATTAGATTTTACTTCTAATGATAATTAATGAATTTTATTCACCTAATTATCTTGTATTTGTATCTTTTAACATATTTGTTCCAATGTTTACACCGTCCAAACGCCCGAAGCCGTGTGACTGTCTGCAATTTCACTGCCGATGTCACCGATCACCGCCACAATTCCACAGCTGCCCAAAATTCAGATCAAGCTTTTCCCTTTATACTTTTGCACAGTTTAACACAATTAATTTTGCTAGACAATTCCATTCGTTAATCTTCGCATTAAAAAAAAAAAAAACAAAGTCACCATTGCCAGCCCAGACAAAGCTTTTGCTAGAGTTGTAGAGACTATAGAAAGATCTATGAATTCTGCAAATCAATTCCAAAAGTCCTAAGGCCAAGAAAAATGGTGGGTACTCCAAAGAAACACTTCCTCGCTTTCCTCCTCCTCCTCTCCTTCTGCAGCCTTCTCATCCTCCTGTACTCCCCTCACCCAAATCCCATCTCTACCCAAACCTTTACTCTAAATTCCCACTCTATCCCCACCACCCCAGCCTTTTCTCTCACTATCAAAGTCCTCACTTTTAACCGCCTCAACTCCCTCACCCGCTGCCTCACCTCCCTTTCCAACGCCCACTACCTCCCCGACCACCCAGTCCACCTCCACATCTTCATCGACCATTTCCCTAACCAATCCCAATACTACATCGCCCCCAAACCTCAGGACTCGCTTGGGATTCTGCGGTTTATTGATGGGTTTGAGTGGAAATGGGGTCAAAAGATCGTTCATTACAGAACCACCAATGTGGGTCTTCAGGCCCAGTGGTTAGAAGCCTGGTGGCCTACTTCTGATGATGAGTTTGCCTTTGTTGTGGAAGATGATTTGGAGCTTTCACCATTGTTTTTTAAGTATTTGAGAGCTTTGATCTTGAATTATTATTACAATGCTTCCAATTTTAGTCCTTTTGTTTATGGGGCTTCCCTTCAGCGACCAAGGTTTGTTCCAGGTACCGATTTTTTTCTGGGTTTCCTCGGCTCTTTTGATAGTTTTAATGATATTTTTTTCTCTGCTTAATATGGAATGCATGTTATTTCGCAAAAAAAAAAAAAAAAAAGGGTTGATGGGCTATCCTGTGATTTAATAAGATAATGTTGTTTTGAGAACTGATTTATTTTTCAAATCAAAGGCACACCTCATCCATATTCCATGCCTCCAAAATGCCTTTTCATTTTTCAATCTAGGTTATGGTAAGAGTTTGATAAGGTGGAACCATTCAACAAGCTAATTGCAGGGCATATTATTAACATTTCCTAATTGCCATGCTTTACATAAATATATTTTATTCATTTTTCCATGTTTGGTTTGGTAGCTGAGCTCCACATCATTTAAGATCTTTATTACTGCTACATAGTTGATTGGTTTTGGCCTCTTCAGTTGTAAGTTGTAACTGTAGTGGGCTTGCCCATTGCTTTCTGATGCAAATCATTAAGTGCATATCTTTACTTATCATTTTGTTACCATCCATGGCAAGATTATTGGTCTAACAGCCATTAATGCATGATCTTAATTATCTTTTTGAGATTTACCGACATTCCTTCATTTATATGCTTGATAAATCCAGGTAGACAGGGAAACAAGATGCTGCTGGATAGCACCTCAGGACTTTTCTTGTACCAACTGGTTGGCACCTGGGGCCAGCTCCTCTTTCCAAAGCCTTGGAAAGAATTCAGGTTGTGGTACGATGATCACAAGGCGAAAGACATAAAGCCATTTCTTGATGGGATGGTAATTTATGTTGTTTTAGCTCTTTCCTTTAATTTTCCTTGTTCTTATATTTGGTCTTTATTTTCAATCTAATAAATTCTATAAACTATACACAGGTTACCACGGGATGGTACAAAAAGATGGGAGAAAGAATATGGACTCCCTGGTTCATTAAATTTATTCATTCTCGTGGCTATTTTAATATCTACACAAAATTTCTGGACGAGAAATCACTTAGCGTCTCCCACAGGGATGTCGGTGTCAACTATGGAAAAACAGCAGGGCCAGACTCTCAACTATTGGGTGTAAATTCTCTTGATAACAATTTCCTGGAAATGAAATCTTTGAGTACCATGAAATGGTATGATTTCTGTTTCAGGGAAGTAGTTCCTGGAAGAGTTGTAAGGAACTTGAATGATCTCGGGTCTATTCTTCCCTCTGTGCAGACAAAGCAAACAGTTCTGCTTGTGAGCCTATTTGGGGTATCAGAGGCAGTCACTAGAAACCTTCTTTGCCACTTTGAGAGGCTAAATATTTGGAATTACATTTTCATTGGTCCTGCTACTGACTTTCTGTTTGATCTTGCTCGAAGGGGACATCCTGTGATTGATGCAGACCAATTTCTCAACAATATCAGATCATATAAAGCAATTGGAATTCAAGAGTCAAATGCTAGGTTTATGAAGGATATTCTGTTGAAGGCTTATGTTGTCAAAAAATTTTTAGAATTCAGTTATAATACTTGGGTAGTGGATGGAAACATGGTTTTTGTCAATAATGACACGTTTCTCGGGTATATTGATTCCACAGACAACTTTTATGCAGTGGAGAGCTTGGACCTTTTCTTTGTCAGGAACTCACCTTCTGCTCTCAAAGTTTGGGCCGATGATTTTGTGCATGATGTTGCAGCTATGTTGGAAAAAAGTTCACTACCTAGAGATAGCAGACAATTTGTATCTGTAATTGCAAAGCGACTGGAACAAAAGAGATTTACAGTTAAGCGAATTGATGATAATAGCTTTGGTATGAAAATTGGTAACCAAAAACTCAATCAAACCTTGATGGCCAATAAAAAGACGGTTTATTGGTCCAGAGAGTTAGATATGGATTCCATCCAGAAGAGGCTTCAAGAATTGAGTCTATGGGTCATAAATAATGACTTTTCCTGCACAGCTGTAGTTTGTCACAAGTCATAGCACTCACTTAAGTTTTCAGACTTGCATCTGATGCTTAATTTATTGTACTTATTGCGAGAGTTTTCATTGAAGCTCAGGGTGAGTTAAAAGCCAACAGAGTGTGAGGCAGTAGCATATTTTGAAACAGAAGAAACTTCGTGTATCGTCTTTTCAACGCTGAGAGGCACATTGCGAGCAATTCATAGGCCAAGTACGGCTGCACATTTGACCACTTTTGTTGTTTGGTGCTAGGAATGATAATGCTAGAAGAGTTCTAAGAGATTGTTTGGAGATTTTCTCTCGGTTAACGCTATGTTTGGTTCACCGGAATTGTCGTTCCAATTCTTGCCTATTCCAGATGGGACCACAGCTTCAAACATATGGTTCATATTTGCAGTCAGAATACTGAATTCTGTCGGAAAGATGATTCTGGATCTCAAGGGAATAGATATCTTTGACATCCTTAGGTATTTTCAATTCCACAGACTAAGGTATTGCTTTCAATTTATTTCCACAGCGTACCCTTTTCTCCCCTGCTCTTCATCTCTCATCTCTCATATCTCTCTCTGCCTCTCTTCATCTCTCATCTCTATCTCTCTCTTCAGTCTTCATCATCCTTTCCTTTCCCAGCCAGCGACCGCGGCAGCGACAGTCCCCTATTTCTCTCCATTCTAGGTTTGATTGTTTGTTTGTGTTATTTGGGTTCCTCATAACTGGAGTTCTGTTATTTAGGTTCTTCAGGGGTGAGAAAATTGCTAAAATGATCTTTGTAGATTCTCATTTCCTCTGGTATGGTTTGTTAATGCACCTTTCGTATATTGCTGGGTTCTTCGAGGTCAAAATGAGAATCACCATGCTTTTTGTCTCAGGTGATTGAAGCCATGGATTATTACAGAGCCAGAAGTAATGTTAAGTTGTTGTCGCTGCTGGTGAAATTTTTAGAGTGATGAGCTCTTGCTTCAGAGAGAGGAAGAAATGGGGAGGGTGATGGAGAAAAAGGAAAGAGAAAGAGAAAAAAAACATGAATTTTTCTTAATTTAATTAATTAATTAATAATTTTTATTTAATTTTTGTCAAGTAATTTTTATTTTGTTATAATTAATTTTATTATTAATAATTTTTTATTAATCAATTAATAATTAATAATAAGAGAGAAATAAGTTAATTAATAATGTTTATTAATAAATTATGATTAATATTATTTTTATCAATAAATTATAATTTAATAAAAAATAAAATAGTCTTTTAAGTTTATTTTAATATATTTTTTTAACTAATCAAATATATTAACATCAATTTTTATTATATTTCATTTCAATGAATTAAATATCTTAATAATTTTTTATTCTATTATTGTTATTTTCTATTTTCATTGAATATTAATTTCATTTTGCGAATCAAATACGTGTAAAGGTGGTGGCGGATGACAGAGAAATAGGACATGGGCAAGGAACATAGGAATCAAACTCAATGCAATGAATCTCCGAAACTGAGCAAGCTGAGTTTGAGGATAACATGCCAAGGCTTTGGAGTTTTGTTGGAAATGTGAGTTTCGCCAAATTCTTTGGAGGCGATTTCGGTAGCAGGAATTATAAATCCGTAGAGACATTCTTAAAGCTACGTAATCTTTTTTTATTATTTTTTCATAATGGAAGTCAAAACGTAATTATATATATTTTTTGATCTAAAAGTTGTTAAGATTGAAACTCAATTTTTGAAATTAGAATATTAACATTTAATTAAAACATAATTAACATAATTATAGCTTTCGATGCATTTGTTGTTGTTCCTCTGAAATTGGGACTTGAAATGGAATTTTGAGATAAGTGGGGTGAGATATATAGGAGTGAAGAAGATTATATAGCATATTTTGTGTATAAGATTATAAATAAAATATGATAAAATTATATATAATATGATTAAATTAAATTAAATAATATTATTTTACCTATAAAGGTTATGATATAATAATTTTATTTTATTAGTCAAAACTATTTTTTTTAATTTTATATAATTTAAATTATTAATATAATTTTTAAAAGTATAATTGGATATGTAAATTTAATCTCATTAATTAAAAATAATTCTCTTTACTTGATGAGAATTGTATCATCTTATATTAAAATGATGATTAATTTTTTTCATCTTTTAAATACAAATCAAATATAATATAAAATAATTATTATTTTTTATATATGAAATATGACAATATATCATTATATAATTTAGGATCTCAAAGCTTGCTTATTATATATAATTCAAGATCCAAAAGCTTGCTTATTGTGTAAGGACTGGACTGGATGTAGCTCTGCGCCTTGAGAAGAGCGATGCCAAAGTGCAGTATAAAATGGTTGAAACTAGCGTTCTTGCAAAAGTTTGACCAGCTTGACACTCCGGAGATGGCCTGCCTGGAGTGAACTCCTACAAGAAAAGATCCTCAACCACTTTTTCGCTTAGTTTAACATTATTGATTTGTGATTGAGAAAAAAAGTTTAGGATAAAAATATTATTTAAAAATTTTAAGTATTCTATAAAACAAATGAAATATCTAAGACATGTATAAAATAATAAAAATTTATAAATATGAAGATAATAAAATTATTTTATTTACAAAAATTACTGTTATATTAAAACATCTCTGTAGCTTTTTTTTTTGTTTTGAATTTATAAATCAAGCTTTTAAATTAAAAAATCACATTCTTTTATTGTTTAATATTGGATTTGAATAAAAAGTAGCTTTGAAAAACAAAAAGCTCTTTCAACTTCAAAACTAAACTAACTCTGGTTGATATACGAAATTAAAAATATGTAGGTAAGGGGTTGCAAAGAGAGAGAATGAAAGAATACGAAAAATTCTTCTTAGTTATTAATTACCTTTCATACCCAAATAATTTTTTGATGTTAATTTCAAGTCTGCCCCTGTCTGCATGTCTTGGGAATTTCGCTCACAAAAGACAACAGAAGGAAGAAATACAAGAGAAACAAAAGGAATTGCTACAGATCAAGGCAAAACCAAGTTAGCACAAAATTGAAGCCATTGAATTTGAATGTGAAAGAAAAAAAAAACACTTGGAAAATATCTAAACATGTTATATATATATATATATATATATATATATATATAAGCCAAAATATTTTGTTCACATTCAAATGCAACGGCTTCAAAATTTTCTCTAAACTTGGCTTTGCATACCTCTGATGCTATTTGTCTTGTTCCTCACTTATTTCATCCCATGCTCTCTTCACTTAGCTTCAAGCTTAAAGCTTAAAGCTAATTCCTCTTTGCTTAGTGCCATCTGCCGTCGTTTTTTTTCCTTCATGCAAATCCATAACTCTCTCAATCAAAAGGACAAGAAATGAGTGTTTTTCCTACCCAACACTCTACCAATAAATTAATTTATAGAAGAAGATGATTAAATGAGAGACCCACCAAATAGGCTACGCGGTTAACGAATAATATCGTGGATAAATTTGATTGGCTAGAAACCGTTTTTGTCTTCCTCGCTTTTTCCTTTCTGTTTACCGAGAAAACTCTTTTGATTTTTGTTTGACACATTCTAAGAAACTTTCAAGCAATGGGGGGGATGAAAGATGCAGGCATCACCTAAATGTTGTATCAAATATCATATTCCATTTAAAAGAAAAAGGAAAAAAAATAAAATTTTATGTAATTGAGAATCGTAGCAATGTCGTTAAATGGGCAAATATTTCTTTTGAATTTTAGCTTTACTTTCTTTCGTTACCTAAAGAAAAAGAAGAGAAAAATACAAATGAAACTTAGAGTGCAAGAAAGCAGCCAGAAACTATACGTTAGTTTTTGGAATTTGAAGAAAAACATCAATAATTTCATTTCCGTTTGAACACGGTAACACGGTTTTTTTTAATTGATTCAAACGTTTTTCTTGGATTGCAAGAAAGTTTCTCGATACTCCCTAAAGGCATATTGTCTGTTTCTCCTAACTAATTTTAGGATGTCTCTATCCCAGTATCACTGTTTACAGTTACGGGGCCACGTGTCAATGGAAATAACAATCTCCTTCTTTCAATTCCTTCCTCTTCTTTTTGTTTAACTGGTTGTTTCCTAGCTTCTTCCACTTTGTTTCGTCTAATTAACAATGTTTCCATATGACAAACGTTTTTGTTTTTTGGTTTTTTTTTTATATTTTTATTTTTTACAAAAAATAAATGCATGTATGATCAAAAGGTAAAATATGTCATTAATCACTTAATTATAAATCCGACAATTCATATTATTATGTCGTATTTTATGTTAAAAATGATTTCAAACATGACATAAATAATTTTGATATAAACATGATACAAATATACGAATAATATGAATAGCTTAAATTAAACTTGACAATGTAAAACGTGATATGGTGATACGACATAAATATAATAAAAAAATAAGATACGAAAGTGACACAATTTAAAATTGTAATAATAGTTACGTATGAGTTTAACAAAATAAAAAAAATTATATTTTTTATTTTCGTATCAATACGAATTATGACACGTAATTTTAATATAAAACAAGATACAAATACATAAATTTTAATATTTTATACGATACAAATATACGAATAATTATGTCTACTTTAACACGAATGCAACATGTTTATTATATATGTTATATGTCACATGACACAATTAATATGATTATATACAAATAACACAATTACATATTATTAATTATCCAAATAATACGACACAATACGGTTAACATGATTATGTACGAATAACATGATTAAACATAATTAATCTATTTATTTAAACACAAAATATCATTTAAATTAGTATTTAAACAAAAAATTAATAAAAAATTAAATATTTATAATATATTTACACACTAAAATGATATGATAAATATGACTATTAATTTATTTTTTAAATAAATTAAAATAAATTTTAAAATTTTTTATGTTATAAACAGTATTGTACCTTAAATGTGTTATTATTACGACACGAATAATATTATATCTTAACCATGTTAACACAATTAAGATACGAAACATAATTATACTAAATTCATGTACAATTTTTACTGTGTCATGTCATATTTAAAATTGTCAAAGTCATCTTGCATCATAGATTATTGCTATTTATTGGCGGTTAGAAAACCTATAAAGTTTCCTTTTTGATTCTTCACCTCTCCGATATTAAAGGTGTAATTGGTCGAGTTTGAATTGATATAGTATTAAATTCGAGCTTAAGCTCGATTTAAAATTCTTGACTTGAAACTCAGCTCAAACTCGATTAAATTTTATTTTTCGAGCTCGAGCTTAAATTCGACTTGAAATAAAAATTGAGCTACTGAAGTTTATTTGATTAAGCTCTATTAACATATTAAAATAAATTCGATTCTTATATTCAATAAAAACTAAAATATTTGTGTTCGAGCTCGAGCTCTAGTTTGATATATTTTATTAATTAAAATAATAAAAATATATTTAAATATAAAAACTTGATTAAGCTCGTAAGTTACTCGAACTAGCTATAAGAATATTAGAACTCGACTCAATTGATGAGTCAAACTACTCAAATTTGACTAAATAATAATCAAGTTGAATTCAAATTATATTTGAATTAAATCCGAATAATTTATAAGTATTAATATATTATTTACACTTCGATTTTAATAAGCTTTGATTTTTGAAAATCCTCTCAAAATATCTTAGATCTAGATCAAAAGCAAAAGATCCCCCGTTGCCAAGACCACCATCACCTTGCTGAATGCCCAAATTCCTTCTACTTCCTTTCTTAGATCTTAAACCTTAACAAGAAACCTCAAACAACTAAGCTGAGATTTCAAAATACCCATCACAACTCCACTGTTTTCTGTTACTTAAAAAGCCCAAAACCACAAATATAAAAGAATTCTCAAGAAAACCCAAAAACAAAACCCTTAGAATCTCTTCTTTAATGTATATTTGCTGCTAAATTTTTTTGTGAATTTTATTGTGAATGACGCTTGATTGCTGATAATTATTGTTGATTTAGTCATTAACGGCAGGGTGACCGAAAAAAAAAAATTTACTCAAACGTTAGGGATTAAATAAAAAATTAATAATTTAGTGATCATTTTAAAGTTGAATGACTATTAATGTATTTTACCCTTCGTCAAATTCTCCATCCTCTCCCCAGATTCGCACCGTCGAGTGCTGAAACAACCTTTCCTCATCGAATAGGGCTGGTGGGGAATGGGAAGTGGCCACGCTGAATCAATCCCTCCCTCTTCCCTCTTCCCTCTTCATAGTCCTCTTCCTGCATCTCTCTTCCCAAAATGAATGGTGTGATACCTTAATAATGCCCCAAAAGAATCACAACACAAATGACAACGTAGTCTACCAGGATAACACTTTTCAACTATACTCTATATATAGATAAATATATATATATATATATATATATTTATATAGGTACGCGCACCTAAAAGTCCTTCACAAGTGAACACAGAGCTGCCGAAGATCTCCTTCAACAAAAATCTCATCAGCTTAACTGCCAAATGAATCTTAAAATGGTCATAACAAAATTTAACTGTATCCAGCAAGCCAGAGGGTTGGATCCAATTTTTCCATTCTCTCTCCAACCACAAAAGCATGAACCTGGTCCTGGATATGAACCCAACTGCAACCAGGGTTCTTCCTTGCTCCCCTCAATTTCATCAATTCCCTAATCCCGTGTGCCTCATCCCACTTCCCTGCTTCAGCAAACATATTTGAAAGAATTGTATAGTATCCACTATGCTGGGGCTTTAACTTGAACAAATTCTCAGCAGCCGAACGCCCTAGCTCAATATTTCCAAAGATTCTGCATGCTCCGAGTAAAGCACCCCAAATATTAGCATCTGGGGTAATGGGCAGGCTTTTAATAAGTTCAGCTGCTTCTTCCAGTAGGCCAGCCCTGCCAAGTAGATCAACCATGCACGCATAATGCATTTGTGTTGGCTCAATTTTCTGGGCCTTCATTTCTTCGAAGTATTTTCTCCCTTTCTCAAGTAGTCCTCCATGGCTACAAGCTGATAGAATAGCAATATATGAAACTGAATCATACACAACGCCATCATCCTTCATTGCTTCAAAAAAGTTGATGGCCATGTTTAATTCACCTAGCATTCCATAACCTAGTATCATAGTATTCCACGAGGCTACGTCCTTGTGTTGAATCTGGTAAAAGAGCTTACTGGCCGTGTCGATTCGTCCACATTTAGTGTAGAAGTCCAATAGGGAATTAGCAACAAAGAGATGAGCATGAACATGCTTTCTTACTGCCAGTCCATGGATCTCTTTCCCTTGCTTTAATGCGCCTTGATTTGCACAGGCTGAAATAACACCGATGAATGAAACTACATCATGTTTCATACCAATGAACCCCATTTCTGAGAATAAACTCACAGATTTTGACCAATCATTAGTTAGAGAATAGCCTACAATCAAAATATTGTAAGAGACTTCATCCTTAACAGAGTTGTTAAAGACATTTTCAGCAAGATTTAGGCATCCACATTTTGCATACATGTCTGTCAGAGCATTAGAAACAAACAGATCAAAGTTAGATCCCAGACGAATTGTCCTACCATGAATTTCTTTTCCATTTTGAAGAAATCCTAACCGTCCACAAGCTGGCAGAACATTTGTTAAGGTAATAGAATCTGGAACCTCACCATGAGCTTGCATTTCTCTTAGTAGTTCTACAGCCGCTAATTCAAGCCTGTTTTGTGCAAAATTTGCTACCATGGCATTCCACGAAACAACATTTCTTCTTGCATTCATTTGGTGAAATACATTTGAAGCTGCATTTGAATGACCTGATTTGGCATACATATCAATCAAGGAGTTGGAAATGAAAACATCATGTTCAATACCAATTCTCAAACTAAAACCATGAATCTCCTTTGCTAAATTGAAGAATTGTAATCCAGCCAGCACCGGTATCATACTTGAAATAGTTATGGAATCAGGTGTGAGCCCTACCTTCATCATCAACCTAAATATATCCAACGCATCCTTATTAAGCCCCATGTAAGCTAGGCTAGTAATTCTTGCATTCCAAGAAATCTTATTCTTTTCCACCATTTCATCAAAAACTCGTTTTGAATCCTTCACATTCCAACATTTCCCATATGCATCAATCAATGCATTCCCAATACTAACCTCAAAATTTAATCCAACCTTAAAAATACTCACATGAATCTGCGTCACCAACCCTTTATCTCCAAGCACTCCACAAACAGGCAACAAAGTGACAAAAGTAACCATGTTGGGCTTAATCCCAGAAGTAAAATTCATCTGGGAGAAAAAATTAAGCGCCTCCAAGTAACACCCATTAACCGACAAAACCCCAAGAACCGCATTCCATGACACAACATCTCTCTCACGCATTTCATCAAACACTTTCCTCGCTTCCCGCAAACTCCCACAAGCACCATAAAACGACAAAAGGGTATTCCCTAATAAAATGTCCGAATCAAACCCAGTTTTAATAACAGCCCCATGAATCTCCAAACCTTTCTGAAAACAAAAAACATCGGCACAGGCCTTGAGAATGAAAGGAAAAGTATAAGCATCAGGTTTTATTCCGATTCGAAGCATTGTATTGTAAACTTGAAATTGAAATCCGTCACGATTAAATCTAGCAATGGATAAAGCACGGATGAAGGTGTTCCATAAGAAGGGTGTTTGAGAATAAGGAAGAGCTTGTTGGAATAGAAGGTGACAAGTTGAAGGGGAATTGAAAGCGGCGTAGCGGAGAATGAGAGCGGCGGAGAGAGGGATATGAGTGGGGAGGAGGCCATGGTGAATGGCGAACGCGTGAGTTTGTTTGGTGTGGATAAAAGAGTTGGATTTGGGGCAGAGGGAGAGGAGAGCTTTGGTTAGATTATTGTAACATGACTTTACGTGCATGCTGATGTTGCAATATGCTTCATCAAAACATTACTTAGATACGATAAGTTGTTTAGACTTTGATGGCATTTCAGTGTCTATATATAGATATAATTTTATAAATTATTTCTTATATGTTACCTCTAAATAAATATTACTCAATTAATTATACTTATTATAACAAAAATTATTATTAATTGAATTCAAAATTTAATTCAATCAATTCATACGATTATTTTAAAAATTAATATTTAATAAAATTAAAATTTAGATCCAAATGATTACATTTTTATTCTTATTATCAAACTAAAATTTTTTATATAAAAAATCATTATTGATCGATAACATATACTAATAAATTACATGTATTAATAATATATCAAATATAAACACAATTATTTACTCAATTCTCATTTCTATACTCAAAAAATCTTTGTCAAAATCGAAACCTCTGGATCAAATAAAAATCAAAATCAAGGTAACAACTTACAAGCCTGCACATGGCTACAGCCTTCAAACCAAAGATTAAGCATTTTTTTCCAGTTTTCATTTTACCTAGTTTTACAAATAATCTCTAACAAATTCCATTTATCACTTTATAGAAAATGCTAAGAAAAACAAATGCTAATGGTTGTTCTCTGCTGATTGTATCTTTCAGCACCAGCAGATTCAGCAATAATCAGCATTATAACCTTTCAACTCTTGACATGCCTTTCTACCATTCAATTAAATCTGATAATTGAAGACACAACATAAAAATATCTAAAAACGATATAATTTAAAATTTTGATAAATAACATGAGTCAAGTTAAAAACAAAAAATATATTTTGTGTTTGATGTGTACATATGCATTGTGAGATAAAAATTTTCCTATATCCAACAAACTCTCGTTTGAGAAACATAGAAGGTCTGAAATGAGACTAAGGCAACCAATAGAATGAGGGAAAAAACGAATAAAGATTTAAAGGAAAAAAGTATTCAACTATCTTAACCCCGCAACCTTTTCAATAACCACTTTTTTCTTTACCTCTCATCCAATTTCATAAACATCCTGGCCCTCCTATCATCAAAAGAAAGATACTCACAAGCGTCAACTATAAGATCATCGTCAAAGGCAGGAATTGTCTGCATCATTTGAAACAGTCTTTTCCGTCAATGCATCAGCAATCCTACCAATGTTTTCTGCCATAGCACTTCATCTCTAACATTACATCATTATTATGCCTCCTCTTTAATGTCTCCTTGGATTGTTAAGATGATTAAGGTCTGGAAGAAATACAGATCAAGTAAGCAGAGTGAAATGAAAACAACAATTGCATAAAAGCAACTCAACCACAAGGGTTGTTATTTAGTTGTTCAGAATTCATGCATATGCATAGAAGGAAAGTCGTTCAGAATTCATGCATATGTGTAGAACTTATTCTTTCTACAGATCCTTTTTCTTTCTTTAAAAAAATGGAAAAATTTTAAGCAGAAACCATTCAATTTAACATTTTCAAGAAACTGGAAAGTTCTAGATCAATGATAGAGTTCCAATTAAACTTGAAGAACGGCATGCAAACTTGACTAATCCATGAATTGGTTTTAAAATACTCTCAAATACTTTAATTCACAGTACCTTGATGCCCTCTCTCCAATCCGAGTCATTAGTGATAACCATCTTTTGTCTCTCATCCCATTCAAATCCTTGCTGAGAGAGGAGTTCTTTCACAAGTCTGTATTGTTTCTTCCAGGTCCTGAGCCTGTTTCTAATATTTTCTGTTGTCAATTCCAATGAAAACTTTTTGTTTAGAACAGAAAGAGCAGCTCTAAATGCCATTGGTTTAAAACTTTTCTGAAGCTTATTTCCAAGAGTCACTTGCTCCACCAGCTGTTCTGTCAAACATCGGTCCATCTCATCTGTCCATAATATGTACTTCCCTTTGTCTTTTGCAACATCACTCTGATTGTAAAACTCCGTATCTGCAGCTTCATTATTTGCTGTCAAATTTACATCATCATTAGTACTATTTAATAAACCTCCAGGAAGATCATCACAACCAAAGATGGCACATAGCTCATTGTAGTTTCCGATGACCTGTCCTCGGAAAGATCTAGCATCTGGATTTCTCTGTTCCAAAAAAAGAAGGAAACATAAATTCAAGAAAGGCTCAAACAGTATATTATGAAGAGAATCATCATTCAAATCTGAAAAAATTTCCTTTACCTTAATATATTGATTCCATGCAGAGTCATTTGCTATGATCATAGTGTGTGCTTTATCCCATTCAAAATCACTGTGATGCAGGAGCCCCTTCAGAATCTCATAATGTTTCTTCCACGTCTTGAGATGATTCCTTACATGCTCTCTTGTCAAGTCAAGCTGAAACCTTTCATTCAAAGCTGAATCAGCTGCCACAGATGCTGCAGGTCGTAATTTGTTGTCTAATTTACTCTTATTCCCAAGTTTGACTTGCTCTGCAAGAACCTTGCTGAGGCATTGGTCCATCTCATATGTCCACCTCATGTTCTTTGCTTGATCTTTGACCTTGCCACCATTCTGAACAGGGGAAATATCAACAGCCTCTGCAACCTCATTATTATTGCCAAAGATTGTGCACAAGTTATCATAGTTTTCAATAATAACTCTTCCACTGAAAATCCTGGCATCGGGGTGAGCCTGTAAATGAAACAGGAAAATAGCCAGAAGATAAGGACAATAGATGTTGAACATCAACAGGAGTCAAACAATCTAACTTAAAGAAGGCACATTAATTTTTTGTTTGGAAAACATCAGATTATCCGCACATGCACAAGCATACACTAACATGTACATACACACCAAGGATGCACATCATCACATGGGAGCAGGATATAATATATATATATATATATATATATCTGGTTATTTCAGTCCATGTTTTGTTATTTTATCATATAATATAAATATTACCGCCATATAAATTTTGTTTTTCTTTTTTCTCTCAATATCAAAGATGTAATAAATCTTTTATTTTTGACAGAAATATTCAAATTCAAACCTAACAATAACATAAACGATGCCCCAAAGGCCCAAAACACAAGGAGACTTTAAATGAAATGAAAAGCCCATTAAAATGTAAGAAAAAGGAAGCTCAACCAAACAAATTATATTCTTCACAATTGCCAGTAAGAAAGTAGAAGCACTAAAGAGGAGAATAAATTGGAAATAGAGGAGGAGGACAGGCCGACAGGGGATGTTTCTCAAATAGGAATAAGAAGCTTGCACAACAAGAAATGAAGCCGGATCCAAAGGAAGTCTTAGTGTTCTCTCAAGTTAGGGTGCAAAGTGCATAGACCAGAGAAGAGACTCCTTTATTGTCAATGCCATCAAGTGGTTTGCTCTTTCTGTTCTTCCATTCCTTAAAGTTTAAGTCTTAGATTAAACTAAACCCAAATAATTTTGACAATTATAAAAATATATGATTAATCAACTCTAGTCCATATCTCTCTATAATGCTCAGCCTAAAATCCTCAAATTTACCAATAAATTATTTAGATTCTATTATAGAAGTATTTATCAACTAATTATTCTCTCAACTTACTTCTTATCTTAGTTTAATGCCCCGAGCAGCACCATCAGCCCAACAATTTTCACGCCTAAACCACATGACCTTCAAAAGCTTAAGCTCAAGTTGCTAACATTATTGACTTGAACCCTTATTTGGGTCCATCATTCACATTAATATCCAATCTGCGATGGGGCATGATACTTGGTGCTGTCCAAACATTCAGTATAACATAAAAGCCTTACACATTTTGTTAAGAATTTGAGCTGAACTAAAGTCAAGGGCAATAAAGTAATCATCTTTCCTTCTCTCTCTGTTATTTCTCTTCTTACCATCCACAAATTTCTTTCTTTTGTCTCGTCTAAAGAGTTTTCAAAGGTTAGTAACATTAAAAAAAAAAAAAAAACCAATGTAAACACAAATGTATTTTTTGCCTAGTAAACAAAAAGCCTTTTATTGTGTTATCAAAGAGGGGCATTGCAAAACCCATATATCAGGATTTATGAAGCATTTGAAGCAGTTGCGCTTTAGAACCTGGAATCACCTGCTAATGTAATTTTTTAAAAATTTAGGATATTAGAATATCCTAGATAAAATCTTTTGCTTTCCAACTGAAATTGAAGCTATGGAAGAACCCACTTCCGTGCAGTTGTGATAGCCTGAAAATATCTCATATGTATAAAAGTTTTAGTTATAGTGGACATACCTTGACATAGTTGGTCCATACCGAGTCATCTGCAATGATCATCTTTCGTGTTTTATCCCATTTGAAACCAGGATGAGAAAAGAGTTGCTTTAAAGTGCCATACTGTTTCTTCCAAGTTTTAACCCGATTCCTAATGTGATCTTTTGTCAATGCAAGCGCAACTTTATAATTTAGGTTGAAAGAGCAGTGTCATATGCCTCCCACTGTAAGGTACTGTCCATTTTATACCCTTCCTTCACTTTCTCTGCAAGACTCTTAAATGGGTAGTAATCCATTGCATCAGTCCACCTCAAGTTTTTGATGTGGTTGTCATCACTCTGAATGTCAGACGAACTGGCAGTGTCTAAACCATCTTCACTGGCAGCAGATTGCATTTGAGTTTCTGCATCATTTTCCAAACAGCTTGCTATTGATTGATCATTGCCCATTCCCAATAATAATACGTAACTCATCATAATTGACAATGCATCTTTCTTGGAACCGCCTAGCATTGGGATGTGTTTGAGGGAAACAAAAGACCATCACATTATCAAAGTCAGCTAGGATTTTCAAAATGTTGATGTGATAGTAACTGTCTCAAAGTGCAAGAAATATACCTTGATGTAATCATTCCACATAGAAGCATCTGCAACAACCATCCTTCGCTTCTCATCCCAATGAAATCCTTTGTGCACAAGAAGCTCTTTTAAGATCCCAAACTGTTTTTTCCATGTTTTTAGCCGATTCCTTAGATGCTCTTTAGTCAAATCAAGCCCAAATTTTTTGTTTATGACATTTAGTGCACCCATACATGCTGCAGGATTTAAACCGTTTTCTGTCCTATTACCCTTCTTTACTTGCTCAGCTAGTAGCTTGGCAAGGCAATGGTCCATTTCACTTGACCAGTGGAAGTAATTTCCCTTTTCTTTAGCATTGGAACTGCATGTCTGGTATGACTTGCGTTACATTTCTGCAAATTTTCATCCACACAATAACACCATATAACAACATAACCATGAGCGAAGGGAAACTTAGTAGCAGCATACAACAGAGGCATAATTGCTCCGAGTCAAGTCAATACACTGCAAAATTCAAGCTCTAACATAAACTCAAGGTTCGAAACTCATCTCGAGCCTGATCAAGTTTGATTTCCCAAACTCAAGCTCAATACATTAGGCACGATTAAGTCAAAATAGATTCATACTATTTGATTTATAGATAACACATTACACAGTTGAATATATGTAAGATATTAAAGAATAATAACGAAACTTGGTTAGACTTGTGAACCAACTTGAGCCAAATATTAGAATATTTGAACTCAGCTCGACTCAATAGTGAAAGAGTCATTTATGGCTTGACTCATTTACACCACTAGAACTGTGGAATACTGACAACATAATCAACACCCTCAATCTACATTTTGCATTTTTGAATTTTAAAATGAAATTGTTAAAAGAAACCATAAATGAGTTGATGGTTCGTAAAATTCAAAGGCAAAAACAGATTATTCATTTTCACCATTTCACTTTCACAAAAATAAATACATAAATAAATAAACGGGCACACAGAAAATAAAATTCCCCTACAACAATAGAACGAAATGAAAATTTTGAGAAACTGAAAAATGCTCTGCAATTAGTAGCCATAAAAATCGAAGGAAAATTCCTAGTTTTATAAAACCAACAGCCTCCTATGATCACCATTTTTTAATAGTCAAACTATTTTTTTCAATTCTATGAAGTGTAATTCACTCCAAATGTGCGATTTTAGTCTCCGTAAAAAATTTAAAACTAAATTAAGGAGGAGATAGAAACGTGATCGAATTCCGTTACCCGCAATTGTGTTAGGTCCGCTTCTTCATCCGCCGCTCCTTTTCACCTCGATGGCCCAAATTTCACATCAAACAAAAATGATTAGTAAAAAATATTAAAATAAAAATCGTCGAAGGATTTTTTTTTTTTTTTACGTTGAAATATAGTAATTTTTTGTAGTAAAAAAAAAAAATCAATGTCTGGAATAAATACAGAATAAAAATTTTCTTTTTTTTATAAAAAAGAAAGAATAATTATGTATTTACTATTTTACCCATTATTGTAGTTTGAGTAATTCTGCTCGCACATTGATGTTGGTATGTATACATAACTATTATTCATGTGAATATTTGATAGGAAATCATATTTAATTTAAAAGTTATTTTTACATAGTGATAATAAATTTTTTAAAATTTACAAGTTAAGTTAAGAGACCAACCGACTAGGGCATATCCCATTTTTTAATTTATTTTTTATTTTTAATATATCTTAAAGAAAATATATTATTTTACAATAGACCACAATGCATAACATATGCTTAAAAGCTAATTGGTTTCTAAAAAAACTTTAAAACTTTTTATTATGTATATATATTTAATTAAATAAATTTAATTATTTTTATTTTTTATAATTTTAAAATTTAATTATATGCATTACGGTCTAAAAAATTAAAATTTAACTACATATTATTTTCATTCGCAAGATTGCATTTAGTAAGATGAGTCTTTTAACACCTTTTATTTTATAATCCTATTGGTTACCCTTGCTTTTTGAATCCAACATATCCTGCAATTAAATAACCATTAAATCTCTATTCCTTTGAAGACTAAAATTTAATTAATAATAATAATAAAACTTACTTTTTTTTTTCAAAATGTCTAAAATAAAAGTGTTAAACGTGTTGAAGATATAATGATACAATACAATCGACATGATATGGATTGTATTTGGTACAATTTATTGTTACAATCATGAATTGTGTCAAGCATGACTTATATAGTTGTGCCTTGTTAGGATAAGGATTTAGGTTTATAAAATTAATATAGTACAATCGATTAAAGGTTAGTATCAACACATGGCATATGGACTGACACAACATGACATGGCACATAAGCACTAATGTGATGTATTGTACCATACCATAGATGTTATAAAAAGGTTTAGTCTATTAACCTTTAATTAAAATAATCATATATTGATAAAAACAATAATAATAATAGATAATAATACCAACAATAATGCAAAAACTATTCAAACATTTATATGATCTGAATTTTTTTATTAAGTTTGTATTATTTGGATTTTTATGTTTGTTATTTATTATTACTTTATTTTGTCCTTCTTTTTTTTTAAACCTCTTTGAATAATATTTGCTTGCAGGAATAGCCTTATCAATTTTTCTAACGCACTTTCTTCCAATTTCTTTAAAGTTTATGTCTTCTTCTTTCTTACTTGTCTCTTAAAATTAGCTTTTTCTTTTATCTTTATATACCGTTAAGCAAGCGAACTAAACACTTATCAATTGTAAACCCTTATTAACTTCAGGCGTTAAAGCCTCTCTCACCAAAGGCTTAACGTTAAGGAAGAGAAGATGACATTAAAGCTCACCTCGTGCTTCCATCAAATGAAGCACTCGGCTCCCACTTTTTTAACATAAGACATAAGGAAGTTCTTTCAAACGGAAGGAAGTCCCACCCTTATGTTCAAAGTCAAACGAGTTTTTAACCAAGAAAGACATGGGAGTTGATCATCAAACCAACCTATGTATTTAAAAAGAAAAGGAAAGAAAAAAGATTACCCGCTATCGTTGAATGTTACTATCGCTTCTCCTTTTATTTTTCTATTGAATGCTATTGTCACCACCAACACTTGTTGCCTTTTTTTTTTTTGTTCAGTTCTTATTTTGCTTTGGCTCTGCCTTACTCTATTTTTTTTTTGTTGTTGAATTGTATTTTAGTTCTTAGTCTATTGTTTTTCACATTACTAGTCTCTTGTCTTTTTCTTTTCCTCTCTTTTTTTACTGGTTCATTTCGTTGTTGTTCATGATCATTTTTTTTTTTGCTATTAGTTTTTGTGTCTTCCACATTTGAGTTTTTTTTTTTAATTTTCCTATCGTTCTCAATTTTTGTTTTTTGCTATTGTCAAATGCCTGTTGCTATCTTTTTCCTTTTGCGGTTTATTAGAGATTTTTAAAATAAAATATGAGAAATAATCCCACATTGAAAAAGGAAATAATAAGACAGTTATTTAAATTAAGAGAAGTAAAAGTCCACTATAGTTGGACTTAAATAGCTAATAGACCATGGGCTTCGTTTTTCAAGCTTAGTTACCCATGCATTAATTAAATAATTATTAATTTTTAATTAATGGCACTTAACATGTGCGTGCAAAAAATAAATATTATTTTATTTAAAGTTTATAAAATTTTATTTTATTTATAACTTATAAACGTTTGATTGATTAATGTTTGTCCAAAACATATAAATAAGTCAGTTCCAAATGGACAGTTTCAACTATTTAAAAATAGATAGTTTTGGTTTATTCAAAATAGACAATTATATTTATAGATACCCTATTTTGTATGAGGACTTTTTGAAATTTATTGAGCTTCGAATTTTAATTCTGATTGTACAATTTGACCTTAATTGGAAAAGTGAATTTTAGGCCCAATGATTAAACCCTAAATTTTATTTGTATTTTAATTTTTAATTTTATATTTTTTTTAGTCAAAAGAGTCAAAGTCAATTGACAAAACAAGGGGTAAAAAATAAAAAGATGTGGGGTTTTGCATGGAAAGTTTTGAATTCAACTCAATTCTTAAATTCTATATCAGATTTTAACTTTAATGGTTGAATAATTTTGAAAAGATTTGGAGCTCAATCTATTAAAAAAGGGAAGATTACATAGAGAATAAAATTTAAAGAAAAATCTTAGATTCGGTTGAATTAATTTCTTCTAAATTGAAAGGGATTCAATCTTTATATAAAGACCTTGAATCTATGATCAAAGAGGAGGCTCAAAGTAATTTACTTGAATATCAAACAAAGGTCATTGAAAAGAGAGAAAATTTAGGCACAGTTTTGAATCAATAAAGAAGAAGCAATCAAGCAAAAAAATTTTGCAAGAAAATTTAATTGGAGTTTTTTTTTAAGAAAGGCTAAGATTTATAATAGGAAACATTATTTTTTAAAAGTTGAAAATTTGTTAGAACCTATTGAAGTAATGTTTGCTTTCTTTTTTTTTTTTTTTTTTTGCATAACTTTTAGAATATTTAATTGCTTACTCTTATTTTTATATTTATTGCATGATATTTATTTTTGCATGAATTTGCATGACTATTAATATGTTTGCATGATTATTAATTTATTTGCATGATTTATATTATTATTTGCATGATTATATATTTAATTGTATGTGAGACTTGTTGCATTGGTCCAATTAGGCTTTAAAGATAGATCTTTTATTGAGTCTTTTATATTGAGCTATTTTAGGCATTCAATTAGACCAATGCAATGAGCCTCACTATCGGGTTTACATTGGACCGCATCTTCGAGCATTTAAAAATAGATCATGTAATTGACTTGAAAAATTGATAATCAAGGCCTAATTACAAAAACAAATCTAGATTAAAAAGATAAATATCCTAGATAAAATTAAGGGTCTACACTACTATGGCTATCTTGTATAGACATGTATCATTTTTACTTTTTACCAACATGCCTTTGTATGTTTTCATCTTCTATTATTGATTTCTAACT